TAAATAGTTCTGCGAAGATGTTAATATGTAACCGCGTTGAGGTCTTCACTCGTGCAGATGTTGGGCTCGACTTTCGTAAAAAAATATTTAAAATCTTTACCTTTCCATACATTTGACATCATATTGGACACTGTGGTACCCCAAGTGAAATAACGCCCGTACTCATAGCCCGCACTAGGGAAACCTTGTGTTGTGAGTGCCATGGACACTCATAGACAGCCACAAAATTACGCCCAAACTCACGAGAGAAATAAACGTGCACTATACAAATATTTCTCCCAGCATGGGAATGGGCTTCAGGGACCTCTGCGTGGTAGAACAGCATGGCAACCGTTCGGCCACAAAGGCAGTTAAGTTATACGAGAAGACTATTTTTTCATGTAGTTTCAAAAACTAGCTTCTTGATTCGGCGTTTGTTTTATAGACACTCTGTATACTTTCGCGAGTGTATTCTCCAGTATTTCAATACATCCGTAACTAACGGGTGTTCACTATAAAAATACTTCACTCAGTATCATAATAAACATTTTATTGCGTCATGTAGACGTAGCAAGTACCGTCTGAATGGCAGGAAACATATAGTAAGCCACCGTCCAGCAATTGGCGCCGGTTAATTGAGCAAAACAATGTAAACTTGCTGTACTTGTTATTTGCTACTTTAGGTGAACGACCTCTGCTTTTTATGTACTTACACATATCTGCCCTTCTTGTCATAGACAACGCATTTGCACTTTGGTAACTTTCGAGATATTGGCACCTAAAGTTTTTAATTCTTTGAATTAATTACGCTGATTCTGTTTAACAATGAAACTGAAACTAGATAAGATTTTAAAAACACCGCTTATAGGGGGTTGTGGACCTCGTTTTGCTGTGATACCAGATTAACTCAATTCACGGTCATTCTCGGACTAGTGTTCACTACCTAAATTACCAACGTTTTGAGCCCTTTCCAGGTCAAATGGTCACGGTTTGTTTGAAAATACATATGTACTAGGTCCGATAAAATAGTTTCATTTCCTATGTGTAACAATCGCGAAAATCTAAGAACTCGATATAATTGTATGATTTAAAAGTGACTTATTTAAAAAAAATTGTCCATCGACATGTCTTTTAATATTAATTAAGGGGAAGACACTTAGTTCCATAGATATAGAAAAAAAGGGGAGATTTGGTATGGGGGCGTGGTTCCTGTCGCCTCGATATGATCAAAATGATCATATCGAGGTGACACGCCTACAAACATCGTCACAGTGACATGGCGATCGTTGTACATACAAGATCTCTCGTAAAACTTGAAAATGAAATGCCAAGTTGTAGCGATACACCTTGTAAAAATTTGAGTGAAAACAAAAATTTAAAAACCAGTGAGATAATATTGCACCGGCTATTAGCATTTTTAGTTACTATTTCTATTATTATTCAATGTTTTCTTTTTGTCTCAAGAAATTTCTAGACTCAAATATAGTGATGTTCATTTACGATGACTGATATTTATCGACAATAAATTTTTACAGAAATGTTTGAAATTTTTGCTATGATTTTTGTAATTAAAATCCCTAAAATATCGAAGCGAAAAGCATTCACGTTAATTTGATTTCTTTTATTTTATTATTATTATTATTACTAAACATTTTATTTCGAGTAACTTTAACACAACTCATATTTCGGACAACCTTTTCAATTTCGTGTCAATTTGTATGCTGTTGCTTGAAGAAAAATGTATGTGTATTATTGTTTTAGATAATTTACATATTTAAATTCCATTATACTCGTAGATTAAACGTAGAGTATTTTTAAGTTTTTCCAATGACTTAAAAATAAGAGAAGGTTGGATTGAAGCTGCAGGAAAATCGAAATATTGGTTTTCTTATTACTATTTCTGACTTTGTTTAAATTTCCATAGCAAATGTATTTAAAAAATAAATAAAATAAAATCGGCTTTTTTACATGTGCATGCAAAATAAATTAGAAACAATTATAGAAAATTACATAAATCCTTCATAAAAAACCACACAATTAAATTTATTAAATTCGTTGATGGTTCGAGTTTACTCTTGACAGTGACAGCTGCACCAACCCGTGGTAACGTATGATGGAAAACTGACACTGGCGACGATCGCCATATTTTTTATATTATTCTTATAAAACTGACACTGGCCCAAGCCTAGTGGCCGCCATTAAGAAAATAATAATAATTTATATTAATATATTAATTTAATAATACCTGGTGTATAATACCAGTGTAGGTATAGTATGAAAAATGAAATATTTTTTTAATATTAAAAACAGCCACATGGTTTCTAACTATCGATTCGGTAGGACCACATCCCTCGTTGAGTAGCGTCAGTTTAAGGTTAAGAAGGTTAACAATTCACGGAGCGGTTTCCATCCGCGCCCGCCGGTGCTGCAGGACAGCAGTTTTATTTTAATACTCACGACCCTGCAAGTTTATGCGGTCACAAAGCCGCTGCGATTGCAGAACGGACCGCGAACTTAGTGGGAGATAATCGCAAGTCGCGCGGTTAATAGAGAGCTCCTACCGCGTGCGCCTGCACCACATTGCGCCTGAACCGACCGCCAAAGTGCGCGGTTCTACTAGTACCCCGCCGCGCTAACCGCGAGCAACCGTCACCACTACAAGCGTAAAACGCGCCGTGAAATGTGCTATTAATTTTACATACTTTAGGCGATTATCACACTGCACTGCGCCCCGCGACGGAGCCCGGAGCTGCGTTTTTTAACGCTGTACTGAAGTACCTCCTTTTGTATGGAAAACACGCGCCGTCGAACAAACTGACAACGCTTCCCCGCGCAGGAGCGCGGCGCGCGCGGTTTTACCGCGCCCCCGCGCGGAAGGGCGCGGCGAACCGCAGGGTATGGCACACTGCGCTCCGCACTACCGCGCAGAATTTTAAGCTTAAAGACATGTTCAGTTTTCCACAATAGATCTCAACGTCGATAAATTTATATTTGCTATTGAAAATCAACCAAATTTATCTTCATGTTTTCTTAAATCTTTGTATTGAAGTTGAAATTATCCATTTATCGATCTGGTTCGTAAAAAGGGATGTATGCAATATCTTGGTGTCTTTTTTATTTGAGTTAACAAAAACCAAATCGACAGTACAACTGCAGCGTCCTGAATGAATTCTGTAGTATTAACCATTCTTGTCAAAGAAGGATCTCAGCTACATGTACTATCACTACGGCGATCAACAACGAAGTACTTTAAGTGGCGCGTAGCTGCTAGACCGCTTCCCCCGCGCCGATTAAACCGCGCTTAGATCTGCGTCTCCGCCACCGCGCGCGTGATTCCACAGTGTGTTAATCGCCTAACTATCACATTCTACAGATGCCGCGGGCGAAAACCGATATAACTCTGATGAATGATATAACTCTTACTCAAGTGACTGTAAGTTTAATTTTGTTAAATTTTAAAATTGTGTTACGTCGTTTTCACGTTTTAAGCCATTCCCAATCAAAATCTTTTAAGTTATGGTAGTAGATAATAGAGCGTAAAGTTTGAATTGCACACAAGCTAAAAAGTGGCGACATCGGTACCCGATCTTACATAGCGTCATTACATACCTATCTCCCCTTTTTTTCTATATCTATGCTTAGTTCATGTGTTCATAGTCTAATTAACATTGGCACTGATACTTATCTTATTCACTATAACCTCAAAAGGTTAGGTTTTTGTAGACTACGCACTATACTTGTATTGTCTAGTAGCTGTATAACCTCTATGTTCGTGATGATGAAGTCTGTTTGTGAGATTCGTCGATGGGAAATTCGTGCTTTTTATGGACCTACTTTAAATATGTCAAAAACAACCACACCACTTACCCGGTCGCGAAATTAGGGACTTCCCTGTACCAAGGGGCACCTAGAGCACCCAGTCCAGAACCAAAATAGACAATTTACTTCCCAAATAAATCCTACCGGGAATCGAACCCGGCGGCAAAATGCAAACCTGACGGCTACCGAGGTCGTTGAACTCTTTAATTTAAAACCTCCTCGATTTATGGTATGTTATACAAATTAAACAAATTATTGTTTTAATTGAATATCAATTCAATAAAAATTTAAAATACAGTGAATAGCGACATCTCTAGCCGGGGCTGGTAGCTGTAAGGTATCTAACTGGGTGAGGAAATACTTTCATAGATTTCTCGTAGATGGCGCTACGGGTAAAAAGTCGTTGAAAAACCAAATACAAAGACACAACAATAAGCACAAAGAAGAATTCGTGAGGTCCGCTGGTTTGTTCCGTGGCTTAGTTGGTATAGCGTCTGCCACGGTGTGCTAGAAGACGTCGGTTGGAATCCGACCGGATCGAAGGAATTTTTCTAAGTGTCTCCTTTTTTGTATTAATAATTATAACAAATTATTGTTGTTCACAGTCTGACTTCAGCGGTCGCGTGGTGAACAACGACCACTTCCTGTACTGGGGCTGCGTGCAAAAGGAGTATGATGAAACTGAATACCGCTTTGAAGTCGTTGAGCAGACGGAGTTTGTTGATGACGCTTGCTTTCAGCCGTTTAAAGGTATTTTGTCAATTTAAAACTATGCAAAATTACGGAGAAAAAAAACCTAATCCTCAATCTGTTTCGACTGTTCTGAATTTAAGCAATAGCGGAACCCAAAAGAAATACAGTCGATGCCCTAAGTAGATCAGTGTGAAGAAAGGTGTTTAACAAACCTTTGAACCTTTAACCTGCGAGCCGTAAAATTACTGGTATGATTTCCTTATTGCATCATTAATGAATGACGTTTTAAGATACTTTTTAAGCTAATTTGATCTTTAATTACTTAACTACAAGTTGAAACCTGAAGGTTGGAATTTCTTTACGCTTTTCTGTTGAATGGGTAAGAAGGCTCTCAAATCAAAGATCGGCCAAGGGGTCAGGTATCTTAGGGCATCAACTGTACATTAAAACTTTAACATTAAAGTGACACCGTATTGTTTTCAAACTATTTTAAGAATGATTGAAAATTATCTATTATGGCGCATACAAATTCCAATAAAGTAAGTCATAAAGTTAGAAATAGGTTTAAGAAATACTAAACCAATGATGTGGATTTACGAGTAAATTATATATTGTTTTATACATATGTTATTTTGTCGTACGTAAGTAAAAATTTCAACAAAAAGGCTGGAATTCCTTTACACTTTTCTCTTGAATTAGAAAGGAGGCTCTCAGAACTGGAACAGAATTTCGGTTCCGGGGTTAGGTATCTTGGGCATCGACTGTGCCATAAATATGCTAGGCTAGATATGCTATTCACACAGATTACTTAATAGTTCAGTGCTGTCGCAAATGGGGCGATGAAACTATTTAAGAAGCTAGCTTCGCCGTCTTCACCTATTAGTATACTAGTTGCTGGGCGCTGCCAACAATAATTCCAGACGTCATTTAAATTTAATAGACTAGATTCGGAATTTGATATTCTAAGTTGCGACGTAAATAAGCAATTTACGCCAAAATTGTAAGTTAATTTACGTCCATTAGTAAACAACCTTTAAACTGATATCAAAAGTACGTTGCCTAAACAACCGTATAAAAAGTACGTTGTCAAACAGTGTGTCATAAATCTTTTTTGAGAAATACGTTGTGAACATTGTATACGCATTAATGGATTTAAATGTAAATATATACCTGAACAAAATAATATTATATCAAATGATGTATGTGTGTATTCTTAAGGTTCATTTCATGGCTGCTGATAATAAATTAATTATCACATTATCCATACTAATATTCTAAATGCGAAGTAACTCTGTTACGTTTTTACGCCAACGTCGCTGAACCAATATTAATGAATTTTGGTATAGAGATAGACGGAAGTTGGACATAGGCTACTTTTTGTCACAAAATTAAATCTTGTAAGGGGTGAAATAGGGGATGAAAGTTTGTATGGAGAACCAAGAACACTATGAAAATGAGTAAAGTACAGTAGGCTACTTTAACTACTTATTCTGCGCAGACAACGTCCCGGACACCATCTACTATTGCTTAAAAAAATTTTGCGAACATTATGTTTCTAGAAGATATAAAGCAAGTCTAATTAAAAACAATATTTATAAATTTTGTCATTAGGTTTTTGTTTCTTTGCAGTGGGAAAAACAGAAACCTATGTAAAACGCTGTGTTGCCACAAAACTCCAGTCAGCTGAGAAACTGATGTACGTCTGTAAGAACCAGCTTGGCATTGAGAAGGAGTATGAACAAAAGACCTTGCCTGATGGGAAGCTCAGCGTTGATGGATTTCTCTGCGTTTATGATGTCAGTCTGGTGCCGGGGAGAAGCTGGGAGAAACAGGTATGTGTGAACAAAGATTTTAATTTGCAAGTTAATGAAGATTGATCTGCAAATATGTGAACGCATGTCGTGTAATGCATAAATGAAATTATATTACACACATCAAACGTGTCTAGGCATCAAGGTACTTTTAAGCCGACTTCAAAAAAGGAGGAGGTTCTCAATCCGATTGAATGTTTTTTTTGTATGTGTGTTACGTGATAACTCCGGAATTTGTGAACCGATTTTGAGGATTTTTTTATTTTTTGGAAAGAGGGTACTTCAGTAGTGGTCCCATTTGAAGAAAATATTCCACCTCTAATGGAGACAAATTAGAGGATGAATCCGATTTCGCGCGCTTTCCGGTAACCGATTTCAATAAAACTAAGCAAATAGATGTAATTCCACGAACTTTTGAGGTCCTATTAAAATTAAATAAAAATATCTATTTATATTTATTAAAATATTAAATTGATAAAAAAAAATAACATTTCGGCGGTTTAGGGCCACAATAAGAAATGACTACTCTCAAATAGACCATTTCTTGAATTTACCATTTCTTGAATTGGCCACTTGTTGAATTGACCACTTCTTGAAATGACCACTTTATATTTTAATTATAATTTTTTTGCTATTTTTAGACCTTTGCGCCAATTTAGGACCATGCCCAGACATTTATCTCAACTAGAAATGAAAATGAAATGTTTGAAATGTTTTATTTGCCTGTTTTTGTCAAATGGTTGCGAAATCCAGTTACGATGGACGGAGGGACGTTACCCTCCAGGGCGATAATAAGCAATGTCTACTGTATATACTTAAAGGTCCATCGTCAAACTTGTGGTAATGTTCCTTATCTTAAGCCGCAACATATTGAATCGTAAAAGTGGTCAATACTTGCGTGGTAGCCATTTCAAGAAGTGTTCTTTTTTAGATGTAGCATTTAAAGAAATGATAATTTCAAGTAGTAGTCATTTGTAGAAGTGGTTATTTGAAGATATTGTCATTTCTCTTTGTGGTCCTAAACAGCAGAAAGGAAAAATAAATTAATTGAAAAAAATGGTTATCACTAATTACAGGTTTCTTACCACGGTATGACTTTATTTTGTATTCCCGATATTTTGGGAACGGTTACACGTTCCATGGTCACGCGTTGATTGGCCAGCGGCAGAAGACAGCTTTAAGAACAGACATATCTGTTTACCCTCTTTCGCTGTCGACGACTACCCTCATCTCGATTACTTGTGGTGTTACCATTGTCACTCACTTTTTTCCGACAAACCATACTCATTATATCCACACGTGAAACTGAAGTCTTAACTATTTTTGTTTTTATTCTTGTAAGCACTAACAACCGGATTCCACGCACTAGATAGTTTAAATCCATCTTCACGGTCCATCATCACGCTGACCAGTCAACCCGTGACCAAGGAGAGTATAACCGTTCCAAAATATCGGGAAAATAAAAATAAATTATATCGTTGTAAGAAACCTGTAATTAGTGATAATTATTTAGTGAATAACCACGAAAGCCTTAAAATATATAATTTAAAAAAATCAGAATTTTAGTAATTTCAAAAACGTGCTTTGATCCTTAGACATTTTTGATGAGTTTACATATATACGATAGTTGTCACGCGGGCCTTACGTAATACTTAGTTACTTACGGTCCACATAAATTTTATAGTAAAAATAATGGAGGAGGTACAGGAAGGGAAAAGAACAGGTAAAGACGTAAAGGCTGTGGCAAACAAAATAATGATACAAACACAGATACAATCATATAAAAACACTCCCTACTTAAATTACATACAAAACATGTTAAAAAAGAATTTGCTCCAAATGGGCCCGTATTTTCAATAAATATTATGCTTTACAAGTACTTAGGTTACATGATTATCAATGGCATAAATGAAAGCACGGAAGTCGAGGACACAGTCAACATATAGGGAATCCCTGTGTCGCGGGTGCCATGGACACACGTGTAGACCACAAACCTCAAATTACACCCAAACTCACGAGAGAAATAAATGTAGGCCATACAAATATTTCTGCCGGCCCGGCAATATTTCGGCCGGCGAGCACGTGTGTAAAAATTTCAAAAGTAATTTGCCAGGATCCATAGGAAAGGGTGATACAAAGGTGGAATGACGTAGGAGGAGGTCGCATCGTCACAGAGTAGGAAGTTTACGTCATCCAGTTTCGGAACTGGCCCTGTACGCACGAATGAAGCTTCGACATTGTTTTCTAATTTGGTCGAGTATTATTTATTTGACAGTAACTGTTTCGGAAGGATGTCCGACGTGGACGTAGAACGAGTGTAAACCCCCGGATAAGAAGATATCGGAATAAGCGTGTCAGTCAGGAATCAGAAGCAGATCTTTTTAAATTTTGACTGAATTGAAATAAAAAAAATTTAATATTATTTCAATAAAATTTAAAATACAGTGAATAACGACATCTCTAGCCGGGGCTGGTAGCTGTAAATGGATAAACGGATGACGCTACTAAGTCGTTGAAAAAATCAAATACAAAGACAACAACAAGCACATAGAAAAATTCGTGAGGTCCACTGGTTCGTTCCGTTGCTTAGTTGGTATAGCGTCTGCCACGGTATGCTAGAAGACGTCGATTCGAATCCGGCCGGATCGAAGGAATTTTTTCTGAGTGTTCGAACTTTGTATTAATCATTATAAGAAACTAGTGGAGTAATTTCACATAAAATATTTTTTTTTAAACTTTTTTATATGTTTTATAGTAATTCATAATAACTCATTGACCCATGAAACTGCTATAATGTATATAACGGAATCTGCGTTTATTATGATATATCACAGAGAGTGTGTGATGGAATTGAATGATTTAAATACCGCCTTCCCCATTCTGCTATCGTAAGACTAGACGAAAGATGGGGTTCCACGCCTATGTTGTGGATATTCTAAAGAGTCGCACCAAGCGCTTCTACATTTGTCTGGCGTGCGGCAAAGTAGTGGCATTCGCTGCCTGCATGACTTGTTTCCCGAACGCTATTACTTGGACCTTTTCAAGGCGAGAGTGAATAGGCATTATTTAAGTGTGCATGGTACATCGTCGATCTCATTTCTCGTCGAGCTCATTGTCGCTTTCCATAAGGAATATTAGCTGAAATAGCACTACTCTTTCACAGAACGACACCTTAGCAGCAATTCTCCAAAACATCCTGAAGCTCAAGAAACCAGTGGTGTTGGTAACATCAAAGAACGACGAGGCGTGTGAACAGGGAGTTAGAGAGGCTGAACGGCTGGTGCAGAGGAAGGAGTTCAAAGGGTGCATCCCGATTGTTGAGACGTCCAGCCATGATAATGTCAATGTGGAACAGGCGTTCTGCTTGCTTGCGCAGATGGTTGATAAAACGAAAGCCAGAATTAAGGTATGTATAGACATTACTTTGTTGCAGTACCGCTCAGAGCTTTAAATTGCAAAGATCTGAGGGGCACTGCCACTGCGCTTGTCGTCCTGCGACTTAACTGCAAAAAAATTGTGAAACGAAATGTGTTTAATATCGATTTTTTTTCAATAACGGTAGAGTGAGGCTTACACTAAGTCAATGTTAAAAGATGTTAATGTGGTTGCTACCTTGTATCAAATTCTTATTTATTTAAATATACACGTTACTGTTTTATATTCTGACATTTTTATTTCCCCTAAATAGCCGGTGTATGTAGAAGTAGACCATACATTTTTATAAATAATGACATTACTTGTCTTTACAGGTTGCCAACTACGCAGAGGCGTTGCGAATAAGGAGAGAGACACTAGACTTTGTCACTGAGGCGTTCACGCAGCTCATTAGAATACACGTTCTGGACCACAAGTAAGTTAAATAATAATAATGTGTATTTGTAACAGAATTCATCTTATCGAACACTGTAAGATGTTGTCGATTTTTCCTGCAGTTGTAAAATAAGATTTTTGTGGTAAAGGACATATACCATTCCTTGTCATTTATTGGTGTTTTACCACACTTATTAATGCAGAATCAGCTTGAGCTGGTCAGGAAAAGCTTTATGTCCAAGAGCGAAAAGACGTTGTGTGCTACGCTTCTGCTCGGACCGTCGACCCGACGCGTTTGTTATCATAAGCAGGGTTCGAAATTATCAGCATATGAATTTTTTTTAAATTATCAAGACATTAATTTTCTTCGAAATTATCAAGGGATTAATTTTCTTCGAAATTAACAAGATATTAATTTTCTTCGAAATTATCAGGATATTTTTTTTTTCGAAATTACAAAGGTATTAATTTTCTTGGAAATTATCAAGATATTAATTTTCTTCGAAATTATCAAGATATTTATTTTTTCGAAATTATCAAGATATTGATTTTGTTCGAAATTAATAAGACATTTAATTTCTTCGAATTTATCAAGATATTTATTTTCTTCAAAATTATCACGGTATTTATTTTGTTTGACAAGTGAAAACGAAGAAAAATCTTGGGAAATACGATTTGGTTTGTGACTTGTTTTTGAAATTGACATTTGACACGTTGTTTGTTTCGATACGTCTCTGATAAAAACACATGGCACAACATTGCTAGCGGTAGCATTTTCTTGTTCCAATTAATTTTATAAATGTCAATATAATTATCAAGGATATCGTGATAATTAAGGTGATAATCATCATGATAATAAGAACCCTGCATCCCAAGAGTGCTTGTCCAACAGCTATTGTAAGCATCTGCGTTTGAATGTCCGTAACTATAGAGACATTACTCGTCTTACAAGAGGAGGTGGGTCATTCCATATTTTAGATGAGGCATATTTGAAACAACCGCGGGCGAGAGCCTGTGGCGTGATCGGCTTCTTAATCATGAGACCCTTCTAATATTTTAAAGCTTATTTTAAACATACTATTCTGGCACTATGATAGATAAGCGGCGCGACCTAATCCATTATTTATTTTCTTCAGAGAGATGTGGTCGTCAGCCAGCAAGAGATTGTGTCATTATCCTGAATGGGTCAAATTTGTGCAGCAATTTGGGAACGATGGCACTCAAGTAAGTAATAATGTTTAAAATTTACATCTTAATGCTTTTAACTAAACGTTTTTTGACTTATTTGAGACATTATTTATTAAAAACACAATGTAAAATTACAGTAACAACCAAAAGGCTTACATGCTAATTTCTTATAATACACACATATTTACATAAAATGACTTTGCTAATGCTGTCACAAAAGATGTCAGCATTCTGAACCTTAGCGACTAGACAGTTAAGCAACGTGAGACTACGTTTCGTGGGCGCGTTGTCAGCCCGGCAAGTGTGTCGCACGGGGGGCGCAAACAATTGATGTCGGCGTCGGCCCGTGCAGACGTACCTGTTTGGCACAAACAGACCGAAGTTGTTCAGTGTTCCGGGATTGTCCACCTTACCTCGCAGGAGAAATACCTAATGGAGTACGGTTCGAACTTTACGTCTTACTTCCAAGGTGTCAAGACCGACCATTCCATTCCATTTGTTTTCATAAACTATGATGAATATTCAGGGTGAAGTTAGGATTACGTAGAATACTCACTAATACATAGTTATTATGATCAAACAACACAAAGTAAATGTCCTTCGATCGGAATGGACCAGCTTCTGTTACCAAACAACAGACCGAGCTCAGTTGGTAAGAGTGGTGGCCCCGGTGTGGCAGCAAAAGCTGATTCCAATCCAGTAAAATTGAAGGAATTTTGTTCGATCTTTATGTCTAAAAAAAATAGTGTACCATCACTATTTTTCTAGTGCTATAAGAATAGAACCCCTGCCTTGACTTATGAGGGTCCACGATAAAGTTTAATTTCGTCTATAGTAAGTATTACATTATTACTTTTATTTTGTTATTTCATAGGTGGTATTCCGGCGTCACATTAGAAGGCTTAAAGAAGAACGATCAGCTAAGAAACTTCGTAAGCAACTCGCAAAACTGCCGCAGGTGTTGTCTCGAATGCAGCTGCCCACTGATGGGCTTACCGAGGCGTAAGTATCTTATCGACACATATAAATAAAATTACTGTGATTTTAGTGTTAATCCAAATATTTCAAAGGATATGCTATTTACGCAATATGCGTTATACACTCCCGGACACAATACGAGGCACCTTGCATTTTTATCCTTAAAGGACTAGAATAAAAAATATAGTTAGCATGGAAGAAACAGGCTTCTCTGGTTTTTTAAATTAAAATTTTCAATAAGGACTTAAGGACTTTGGAACTGGTATACCAGTTCCAAAGTTGCATAATAGTTCTTGATCAATCAAGCCTTGTTTAAGCTAAGGGCATTTAATATTGAAAATGCAAGGTGGCTCGAATTATGTGTCCGGGAGTATATAAAGATGATGTAGTGATATCTGATTATTGTCACTGAAGCTATGAAAATCCTTTATGTACGCTAAAAGTTTAACACTTAAATATTTGACCGTCTCGTACAACATCGAAGTGAGTAAAGAAAAATGCCATACAGCCAAGTAGTTTACTCGTTTTTTCAGCGCAATGTTTTTTTATTATCTAATTTTTTAAAAAGGTTTACAGTTCATAAAAAGGTCTATATATTAAGAAAGAAATTTAAACTGTTACTAAAAGCCAAACAAAAGTTAAAGAACAATGGCGAAGTTATTGTTAAAAGAATTCTTTGGCGAATTTAAACGTCATAATAATTACAAGTTTGAATAAAATAACTTCATTACATTTTTCAAACTATACAAATGGCCTGTCTAAGTCTGGAAATTAAATTACTCTCAAATGACTAATGACTAATTTATTTAATAATGTTTTTTATTGCATTTTAGTGACTGGCCCGTGGTAGTCCGTCAGCTACGAGCGCACCGAGATTTCTCCGTGTACTTCAGCGCAGGCCGCGAAGGACGCGCTCCGGACAGCGGCTCCGAGTCCGGTTCTGAACTCGACAGCCCTCTGTCCCACGATACCACGCTACGAGTCGGAGAGAGGGCTAATCGATACCAGGTACATTGGCTGATTAGGTCGCGTGCTCGAAGTTAAGGCGAGGTCAGGACGCTAAGTACTTGCCCGATAAGAATAAACTAATTCTACGTCATCAACCCTTTACACGTTTCAGTGGGCACGAGTCCCCTTTGAGAACAGGGTTTAAGTCATAGTCCCAATGCGGGACACGTCTCACACGTTTTTCAGGGGTTGTGAAACTTCAATTGAGAAGCAAACGTTTTTCCACTAGGTTACCAACGCTTTAAATAAATATAACAATAATGAAACCAATTATTTTTCTGATTTAAATCGCGTATATTTGTTTTTGAAACAAAACGTTTCGGGTTTTGTAGGGTACATACAAATCTGGCCAATGCGCCGTAAATGCGCCCCTTATATTAACATGTATTTAGTTGGATGCATGCAGCATGCGTGCAGCGCGCGTGCAGCACGCGAGGGGTGCGCGCTCAGCGCATGTGCAGCGCGTTGGCGGCGCATTCGCCAGATTTGTATGAAAGTGGAACAACATCTTTATTTTCTTCGCAGACCTTGGGGCAATCTCAGAAGATACCGTATGAGATATTGGAAACAAACGAAGCCGCGTCCGTTTTCAAGACATTCCTGCACGAATCTCAGGAGGAGCAAAGACATTATGAGTAAGAGACTTCTATTCAATAAAAATTTACGTTCATATAAAATAAAGATACAAAAATACAATAAAGTTCAAATTGTATTGACAGTTTTAAAGATAAGTACAAGTTGTCGACACCTAGAGATCTAGAATCCAAAAAAAAAACAGTTTGTCTAGGTCACACGAAGTAAATTAAAAAACTGCGTGCTTTTTACTGCCTAGGGATTACATAAAGCACTTTACGCCCGCTACGCAAGGCTATAATGACGGACTTTTAGAGCATGAGAAGTGAAAAGAAATTTTATACGCATTGATATTGTAATATGAATTCCGGGTTAGTTACGTCACGAAATGAGTATGTCCATATTAAGAAAATGTTCATACTTTTGGTAAATTAATTCTCCCAATTCCGATCACTGGTTGTAATGTATGAGTATGAAATAAATACAACAACCTGCCGTAGTTCTTGTTTATTGTGTCATTCTATTAGTCTACTAGTGCAATTATAACACGATAATAATAACACAGATGGTGCCAACAATTCAAGCGTCTGCTGGAAGAGACAGGCTACGTAACACCGGGGAAACAACTTTCCGAAGTCCGCGTACTGCTTATGGGAAGGGAATGCTACGAAGCTTTAAGCGAGGATCAGCAACAACGAGTCTACGATCAGCATCAGAGGCAGATACAACGTCGCGCTAAGCATAATTTCCAGGTGAATTTTATTAGTGTCATACAAAGTCATACAAACGTAGACCATACAAATCTAGAAAACTCGGACCCATTTTGGATGTCGCTTGTGCACTAAGTCCGATAAAATACGAATATCGCTTGTACACTTACAGATAAAATGATCTTTGAACTTTTGAGGTCGGTTTTCTTAGTACTCTCGTCCTAAAATTATGTCAGCACGATTCAGCTCGATGGAGCCAACTTTCAAGCGTCACATCTGCTTTTCCCTGACTGACCCCTTTCACATCACGATTAGTATTAAAATTTATATTCTGTATTTCTCTTATTGCAGGAGCTTCTTCTAGAGCACGCGGACCTATTCTACCACTTCAAAAGCATATCCCCAACGGGCACAATAACGCAGGAAGATATAAAAGAGATTACAGACGTTCTCCAAGATGATTTTCGTTATAAAATGCTCGATCGCATGGAGCAAGATCGGAAGTTAATGTTGTTCCAACATTTGGGATTCGTGCATTGTCCCATGAGAGAACATTGTCCCGCTGGTGCCAATTGTTTGGATGGAACTTTGCCTGTTATTCTTAATACCAAAGTTGGGTAAGTTTTTCATGTATCACATACATAGAATAAGAGACTGTATAATATACTTCCTCTCACCAACGGTTTGCATTGTAGGCATTGGATGAGGAGCGCTCGGGTTCGATTCCCGTTAGGACCAATTTGGGAAATAAACTTTTTCAAACTTGTTCTGGCCTATGTGGTCTGGGAAGTGCCCCAGAGTGAATTCCGTTGCTCTGGAACTCCATAGTACTGGGAATTCTCTAGTTTGAGACCAGGCAATTGGTGTGGTTGTGTGACTCATTATTATTTTATTATACTAAAAAATAAGTTTAGAGAGATCTAAAGATAAATTTCGTATACTCATAAGAGAATGAGATAAATAGAGTAGAAGAGATAATAGGATGGCTGAGTAGTGTAAGTTCTAATTTTGTTTTGAAAGCTTGAACAAAGAGCGTACAGTAGAGTTAGCACGACAGGGCGCGACTCTTATGTGAGAATATCAGTATTTTATTATTACTGCCCGCGTAACGAAAAAAGTTACAACTATGCTTACTTTATACAGTAGTTGTGCCTTTTTTCGTTCTGAGTGCAGAGTAAGTTCATGCAGTTAATGCGTGAAGTCGTTATCCGAGACCTCGACTACATGGAGTTGATAACGACTTCGCCCATTAACTGCATGCAGTCGAAACCGACATGCAGCCGAGATCGACTGCATACAGTTAATGCGTGAAGTCGTTATCAACTTCGTGCAGTCGAGGTCTCGGTTGCATGAAGTTGATTACGACTTCACGCATTAACTGCAAACATGCATTTTATCTGTTAGCAGCCTAAGAGATTCAAAAACGTAGCTTATTTAGCTTCGTCTGGTAGTATGTGTAAGATTTTAATAAATTTTTAACGTATTATATTTGTGTTGGATAGTTCTTTAACTTCGACTGGAGAGTCCCAGTGCCATGCTGGCCCGCCGGCAGCGCCGTGGGCGCTAACGACGGATTCCAATCAAATTAACATTATCATTTTAGGGGTAAGTACGAGTAACTGTCGTTTTTTCGATTAATTATAAAAACATTTTAATACTTTATTGGTATGTTGTCTCATGTTATTCTTTGACAGTGCAAAGAACAGTATTGTATTTAATGACGCATTAAGTTAAAAATAAACTTTCGACTCACTGTGTTATTATCATTATTAGTATTATTATTTTTTTGTATGTAGATATTTCATTTATTTTTATTTGTTTTTTTTTGTATGAAACTGAAAAATGCGTAGTTATTGTCGACTCAAGGCTTAGCCGATTAAGTAATATTTACTAATAAACGTCTTTTTTTGTGTTATGCGCTTTAGGTGGAAGGAATAGCAGGTGAATTCGGCAAGCGCTTACTAGCGGGATGTGACGCGGACAAGCGCATTAGCATCCAGGGCCAGTCGTGGCGCGTCGAGCAGCGCGTGCGCACTGATGATTTCAGCACTGAAACCACTGCCATTGACGATTTCGCTCCTAATGGTACCTATCTATGTAATATTATTGACTTACTTCAAAAAGTATTAATTTTATTGATGGAAATGAATCTATTTTTTCGGATTTAGATCTGGGCTCTTTACAGGGCCCACGGTCACGGTTGACTGACCATGAGATCCGTAAATAGCCTGAACGGTTGTTTAGTTTTTCACCTACTCGACCTAATAGCTTAATATTGTTGTTGTTTTTAAAGGGTATTTCTGCGTTTATCAAGACCAAGAGTCATTCGAGTACATCAGAGGGTGCGCCGAGAAGACGTTGTTGTCCAGTCTTGAGCAAGACGACAAACTGCCTTTTCAAGTATGTATGACATGAACATTTTATTTGTTTGTCTGTATTACCATAGTGTAATAATAGCGAGTAGAGCAACTCCCGTCTTTTAGGATGGTACCACACCAATTGATAGATAGTCGATTACCACACCAATCGATAGATAGTCGATCGATCGACGTCGATCGGTTGGTGTGTAACAATTATCGGTCGACGAACACCGATCGACAAAACAATTCTTCGACTGTCGATCAATGTTGGATCCATAGTCGCGGTCGATCGACAGTCGATTTATTAATTCAATGCAGTGGGCTCTCCCCAGTAGCTTTTAAAATGTATACAGAAGTAGATGTGTTGTTGGCCAGTACGACCTTATTACTCCTACTCTTATTACGGAGGCGATAAGATTTTGGCACATCTCATTTAACCATCGATCGGTAGTGTAGTAACAACTGTCGATCGATGTTGACTCGTCTCATTCGACCACCGACCCACTATCGATCGATTGGTGTGGTAACACCCTTAAGCGCGTAAATTCCAACACTTCACTCAAAGCGTAGGGTTGTTACATTATCATTTTAGTTGTACTTACAGGTTATAAACATCATATTTCATCTCAATATTCTCAAGCTTTACTGAAATAACCTTTGGTACTTAAGTATGAATATATTTATACCAGCGTCGTGATTGGTGTCTCTATTACGAAGTACGATTAGGAAATAGAAATGAAATGTTGAACAATTCTGTATTTGATGCATTCTTGTTCAAACAACCACAAACATAACAATAAACACGTCTACTATTTTATATTATTTTTTATATGTCGAGCGTCTGGATCAATTCTATAATGAATGGCCGACCCGTGCTAAGCAATGTGAGTGCGCGAGATTATGCGAAGATGTGCGTCCGTACACTGCGCGCAGCGGGCGTGCACACATACAAGCCACGCTGCCACGTTTCTTTGGAATTACCATACTTGTCTTATTGTAATAATATGCTATTACTATACATAGATTTTTTTATTTATCATCAATACATATTATGGATACAGAGTGAATTTATATAGCTAGTGATCTTAAACATTTTTCTAACTATACGGTATTAAACAAAAAAGAATTGACCGATCTGAATTTAAATTCGTTCGCAAAATTTAGAAAGAGACAGCAGTACTGCCGTCTGCTAACTAAAACGCGACAAAAATGTGACAAAATAATTTAAAAAAAAAACCATAACCCAGTTTTAGAAGCAATATTCTGAAATATCATTAAACAATTTCAATAAATTATTTAATGCTATTTCAGTCAGTTCCGATAAGTCGAACACGTTAACTAATTATAACTATTTTTAAAAGAGAATTTTGTGGACTATTTTTTGCTATTTAAAAAGCGTTTTAGTTAGTGGACGACAGAATAGTGGTTTGCGACGTCACATCCTAATGGCGCAAATAGAAGGTACATAATACCTCGTTGGATTGTTGAATATGCAGATTTATTCTCACCTTGTTTATGTGAGTTGATTGTAGCACTACAAAAAATTGATTATGCACACCAATGACTGGACAAAATTTTACAAGTTATTGTTTCCTAAAGAATTCATACGGTTTCTTATTTCACAGGGTTTGCCTTTGGTTGTGATGTTCGTTCAAGATGAAGGTATGGACAAGAAGGAGATCACGAGACTGCAAGAGGATGGCCAGAATCTTGCCGACAAGTAAGTCCATACCTCTTTTTATTATTAACATTTTTATAGCAGTTTTTAGTTACTTAAATTTTATTTTATGCTCTAAGTTTCAAATCATCTATTATTACTCCAAGGGCTGCGGGTAGCAACCCTTAATATTTGTAGATGTAAGTCAGTTATGAAAACTTGCATGCGTTCTGTATTCTTTCTGAATTATAGTCTGTTTCAATCCATTATATATGAAAAAGGAAACAAAACGGTTTGGTTAAAATTGTAAAGCAATTACTCAATAAATCGAATATGTAACTCTTTCACGTATATTTGTCATCGTTTTTTCCAATAATATTAATTTGAATAATATTGTAAAATCGTCTTTGAGAAATGGTAGTCGCAAAATGAGGTTATGTATGAATAATCTATGGTTATATAGTGATGTACAGAAAAAAACATTCGGTTCATTCAATTAAAGTTTTCGCTAATCGATTAGTAAATCGAAAATTTCAATCGCAATCGAACGAGTATGTAAGTGTAAAGATTTGAAAGAGGATTTCAAATTAAGATTTCGGCAATTTTAAATATTCTTTTAAGGGTTGTAAGGAAAGCCGCTAGTATAGTTCAATTAAACAAATCGATTCATTCAATTAATAAATAGACTTGTAGTTGGCAGTAAAATGGGCCATCACTAAACCGTCTATGGTCGGGTCAGTGACTTGGTTTGTTTACTTTTTGTTTCAAATGGATTGAAGCGAAGTATACATCTGAAGTGATACATACAGTAAGCGGAGTCAAAAGAACAGCCAGTGAAAGGCTACAAAGGAGACTCCCTAAAACACCATAATAAAATATTCCTAAAAATAAATTTGCGGTCGTATTAATTCAAACTATTGTTTTCAGCTTACACTGCTCTTACATGGAAGCGACAATCAATGAGTTAGGCACAGAAGCTTTAACCGCGGATGCGATACAGGAGCTGATCAGAGCAAACCGTGACAAAGCCAGTTACGCGCACTTGTATAGAGATCTTATTGTGTGCTTCGACTCTGATATACGGTGAGTACGGTGTCTCAATTAAATTGTAAGTTGATATGGTGCCTATGCATGAGTACTCTGTGTTCTTATGTATTGATTTATGATATGGACAACAAAACAGATAAAAATCAAATTACATTGATAGGGAAATATGATATTTTAAAATTCTGTACCAAATTACTACTAATTTGTTCGTTGACACATAATTGTAAAATAACAAGAAAGATCTACTGTTCGTAATTTGCTTATTGTTTACTAATTTACTTAGTACGCCAAGGGAATGGGTGAATACTATGTAAGTGCTAGGTGATTACTACTCCTTTAAATATTCTGGATATTGGATTAAAACTACCCAAACCAGGTTTTTTCATAGACATCTCGTTGTAATGCCTGATATATTGGCTTATCTAATACAAATTTGTTTTGATGGTTGAACGACAATTTTCAACTTTATGGTTCAATATTGTGGCAATAGATGGCGCCTTAAAAAAATCCATGAGGCTTTTAAATGTTCGGTGACTTGAAAATTTTCTAAACGCCATCTACTAAGAATGGTGAAAACAGAAATTAAAAATACCGTGTGCGCAACATTGCAATTCACCTGTACGGCTAACACGAGCGGGCGCGACTTGCGTGAGAGCGACATAAAGTGCGAGATACTGCTATTCTCGCATAGAAATCCCGCGCTTTATATCACTCTTGCGCGAGACGCGCCCTGTCGTGCTAGCCCTGATGATAGTAAGTTACGGAAAATAATTATGAATGTAAACTTATGTCTAAATAATCTTTCTCAGGATAATGGTGTGCATGTTCTGCGACGACCCGTTCTCCCCTGAGCGCGTATTGAGTCCTCTGCTGTCACATCGCGCCTGCTTCCTCACCGGCGACCGTTCCATTGTCATTGAGACCTTCCTCGGAGACTCCAAGAGGAAAGTTGAGGTGAACTTCTTCATAAAATTTCCGCAGTGTAGACATTACGAGCGTACACCATTATTTATGTATTAAGGAGTATTCTTCGCCATTTGACACATTTAACCTTTTGTGTTAGGGTGCGTACATCAGCGTCCTGATTTTGATACAAATAGGAATCGATCCGATCGGGTCGTCTCGAAATCAGATCGGTTTCTGAGCGAAAACATGAACCTGATTCCTACTATATCTTTCTAATTTGTGAGTTAAATCAACTATTGTTTCGATTTGAAACGACAAAAGTTTCCGATCGGCCAGTTGTGAATCGTAATTATGCGCCTCGAGTCGGAAAAGACGCAGTTTCCGATCGGGAGAGGGAATCAAAGTCAAGCTGCTGACTCTATCTATGCTTGCTTGCCTATAGAGGCGCAATTTACAGCTCGCAGCAGCGCATTCGTGACGTATTTGCCAGATTTGTACGTACATTTTTGAGTACTTGTATTTTTTTATAATCGTTGTCCAGATGTAAAAGGTTCGGACTTAGCGCTTTTAATCTTTGGCAAAGATGTTTAGGTCAGCTTTTGAGGTGGCTACCACGACGATAGTGGCTATCACTTGGAATTCTCTAGGTAGGGGTCTACTCACTTTGTACGTCCTACATTCTTCTGAAACAATTACTGTCAAATAATTGATACTCGACCATATTAATAGACAAAGCCAAATATGAAGCTTCATTTGCATCATGCGTCTTTTAATTTGCTTGAGTTCTTACTTATTTCACAGTAAGACGGATTGCGGACCGAGAACGAGAGTATAGGGGCCAATCTATTTGTGTGAATGCGACTGACATGTGTCGATGGGACTCACTTCAGACTGGCCAATTCGTCTCAATAATTATTGTATCTGTTTTAGATCCTTCCTTAGCTGTATTTTGGGATCCCGTTTGCCAGTTTTATGCTGTTGCACTCCTCAATGGAGTTCTTTCTATCTTTCGCAAACAATCACATTCAGCTAAAACACCCTTTTCCCTACTTACTTTTTAACCGACTTCAAAAACTTTGTTGGAAAGAGGGTACCTCCATAGTGGTCCTATTTTGAAGAAAATCATCCACCTCTGAGGGAGGCTGTTCACGCATGAAGATTCATTTTTATAAATAGCGCCTTTTTTTTTCACCGATTTTTATTATCTCTTGCGTCAAGTTCAATAAAACTTGGCAAATAGATGTAATTCCACGTACTTTGAGGTCGGTTTTTTTTAGTACTCTGTACTGAGATTACTAATTTATATGTATTTTTGTTTGGCAGGTCATCATAACAAGCTACCACGGAGCGAGTCAGTTCAGAGAAGAATTGATTCATGGTTTCATCCTGATCTATTCGGCGAAAAGAAAAGCCAGCTTGGCCACTTTAAAGTGAGTTTTTACAGTACTAATTTAGCTATATTAGCCGATTATGGATCTACATTTGTACAAATGACAATACTGCAGTCTGTCATATAAATTACGTTGTAATCTACAAAGAAGATTTATACTTTTGTATATGTAATTTAAAATCAATTATAAAGATCCAGAAAGTCTGTATTGCAGCTAAACCTGGTACAGGAAGACACGGAAAAAAGTAGTTTAATCGAAAACTAGTTCATATTTTATAATAAAGTGAAGGTTCTACTCCTTTGTTGGTAAAAACCGTGTTATAAGAGTATTTAGTAGAGGGTTTGATGCCTACAATGCCTAAGAAAATTATATTGATTTTGCAAATTAAAAAAGGAACAAAGTATTTAAAAGTGCAATAAAATAGTAATAAAATGTAAATGCCAATGGTGGTATTATGTGTGTATATGGATGGCTTTCTAGAATAGCGGTCTATTTCAAAAACATGGAATTAACCAAGATTATGGTTTAAAAAGTACCGGCTCTTATTCGCATTATAAATGCGAAAGTAACATCTGTCTATATCGTTTCCACGCTTAATTGCTGAACTAATGTTGATGAATTTTGGTATAGAGATAGATGGGACGTAGGAGAAGCATATGGCCTACTTTTTCAAAAATAAATCTTAAAGAGCGTGAAATAGGCGTTGAAAGTTTGTATGGAAAACCAATAAAACTGTAAAACAGTATAGTAAAGTAGACAGATAGATAGATATAATCTTTATTCATTGACACCATGAGAAATACATACACAGACGCATGATACAGACATTAACTTAGACGTAACACAGTAATAATTATATTCTACTAATATCTCTCTTGGAAGCCAGGGCAATGAAAAGGCGCTGACTCAGCATTAATGACGCGGCTGCCCGCGACGTTGGTATTCTCCCAGGACCTTATAGGACAGAGACGCCCTTTCGTAAAACCCAAAACAAAACTAATTTAATTCAATTCAATCCAATTTATTTATTATTATTATTTTTTTAAACTATTAGTAGGGTACTCGAAGTACTAGGCAACTAGGAAAGGTACTAGGAAGTAAGGTATTTTATGCAGACGAAGTTGCGGGCACCAGCTAGTTCATGATAAAGTAATTAATGTTTTTACTCGCGTGTGCCTAACGCGAGTAAAAAAATTAATTATTTTAGTTTGGATGACTATTCTAGAAAAGCAACTACATGAATTATGCGTGCGTGTGTGCAAGTGTCTATTGCATTTAGCTTCATTGACATCTTGTCTTTTTTCCAGTGCTTTCTCAATGAACATTCCCAACTTACCGATTCAAATGGTAGCCGTAACAGACGGCGGTGGCTCGGCAGCTAGTGCGTTCTTCGGCACAGATTTAGGCCACGCGCTCATCACTGAAGGCAACGCCACGGCCGACAGGCTGGGAGCGCATTTCACTACTTATACTTCAAGCGGAGAAAATAAGTGTGAGTAGATTATGTTTATTCATCTATACAGACCACGAGGTCGTAGACTAGCGAAATAGAAGGACCGCATCTTAAAAAGAGATTTGCCGTTATCCTGCGATAGACGCTTAATACTCAGGGGCAAAACAATTCTATGAAGAGGGACTTGATCTTTAACATGGAGAGAACGACAGGGGATACAAATTGTACAAATGTCTGGCCATATTCCAGCAGGAAATAAACATGTTTATAAAAATATATTCTATATTGCAGGACACGTTTTGGTCAACGTATATAAATGTCCGATTGAAAATCATTTCACTATTACAACCTGTATATATAATAAATATAAGAAGTACTCGTATTTTTCTAACGCCCTGGGCTAAGTGACAATAGGTGGAGATTCCACATGACTAGAACAGTTTCGTACAGTTTCTACTTTATACACATTTCTTAAGTATAGTTAGGTTAAGACTAATAAGAGTTCGTCCAGTAGCAGTAGAACTCGTTGTGTAAGAGTTCGTCCATGGAAGTACTGCCAGCTTACCTATTTCTGCCGCCATGCAGTAATGTGACCATTACTGGGTCCTGATTTCGAAGGGTAGGGGTGCTGGTGAAATTACAGGCACATGGGACTTGTCAGCTTTGCGATTTAAATCTCTGAGTGGTACTGCAACTGTTATGGACAGGCGTGTCACTAGATGCACGACATGGTCGTCTCGTCACTTAGTATTACAAAAAAAAAGAAATAATGGCAAAACCATCTTTTTTTCATTTGATAATAAAATATAATCTGTACGTGATGATAGATGATCTCTATGCAGTCTTTTAATGAGGCTATTTTTAATGAGTATTCACAGTAAGAATTAAGAGCTATGCACACGGTGTATTTTAGTCGTCGGCGTGTAATGTACTCTAAAATTTACAATACAAATCCTCGCAGTCACTAGCGAACAATAACTCCAGGTAGGGTACAGTAGGAATCAAGCTTGTTTTTTATCGGATAAATTTTGACTGGCTGTTAAAAACTGTCAATGTTTATTATATGTTACATTCGGTCGTTAATTTTCGATTCGCAGCGGCGTTCTACACACCGTTCTTCAAGGAGGTATGGGAGCGCAAAGGCGAGATCGAGCGTGCCTTCCGCATGGAGCAGCCGCACAACCTTCCTGATGTCGCCACCGCCAGACCTACGCCACCCCCTAGGAATCACTCTTATCATCTTAACCACAAGTAAGTTTCTGTAGCTATTATTGAAATGTACAGCCTAATTGTTATTGGAAAACTTTTATACCTAAGTCGCAAGTTTAATATCATATATTATTCAAATGTGCATGTATACGAAAGGGCAAAAAGGTTTTTAGTTTATTTAACATCATTTACTAATGACCAGTGGTCGTAATAGGGTGTTCCACATGAGTAGATAAATGTTTACTTAAGGATACCAAGAGTGACATAGAGTTGTTAAACCCATCAAACGAATTAGTAGCAGTAGAGCTCCTTGTGAAAGGGTTCGTCCAGGGTAGTTCTGCCACCTTACCTATTTCTGCCGCCAAGCAGTAATGTCAGCATTACTGCGTTCCGGTTTTAGAGGGTGTTGGGTGCTGGTGAAATTACAGGCACATGGGACTTGTCAAATTATGTCTCAGGGTGACGGGCGCAGTGGCAGTGCCCCTCAGATCTTGCGAGTTAAAGCTCTGAGTGGCACTGCAACTGTTATGGACAGGCGTGTAGCTTACCATGACGACTCATTCGTCCCGTTACTAGATATTATAAAATAAAATAATAAAATGAATAAAAGAGATCGACTGATTTGGAATGCCCTATTCCGAGCATTGCTTATGATTTACTAATACTTTGTGTACAGAATGGAGCATAAACTCACCAACTCGCTCGACCTCCTCATCGGGCCGGATTCACGGGCCGATATCGATTCGGAATACAGCGACACCTTGAATAACTCCAAAAATAGAGGTTTTTTGAAAGGTACTTGTGTTAATTTTTATATTTATAGACCTTTTTAGTAGCATGCATATGGGTTTTACTAATTTACTTGATAAACGTGTTAAGTAAGATTACGCCAATGGATACACCAATAGATAATAAAAAAATTTCGCCTTGTCTCAACGCAATCATTAAGTGAAATATTTAAACATTATGTGATTGATGCGTATAAATAAATGGATACTTTTCATCGGATTGTCCTTACAAAGTTTTCCTTTGACGGCTTTTGATGAAGGTTCATTTATGTAGACGAGATAAACCGCTTACAAAACTTATATTGTGAATAGTAAAAAAAAATTACAGTCAGGTATAAAATGTAACACAAAAATAAGGAGCGCGTTGAATGGTGGCTGTGTGCTATGCTGTGCTGTTATGCGTGTGAGCGCACTTGAACGACGGCACACCCCGGACACTCCATACAATGGTCGAAAATTATTTACCTACTACTACTACATACAGCAAGGCGCTATCTGCACACGCGCAAATGTGTGCGTGAAGTGGCTGGGTTGCACATCACTTGCCCGTGCTATTTATTACGTTACGTGGTCAGAGCGGCAATCTGTTATCTACAATTCAATTATAGAATCCTAATAATTACACATGTTCATTCCGTATTTATATCGATATAATATTATATTTTTCATTAATTCACTAACTGGAATAGTATTGGAGATTTATTTTAAAAATTAAAAGCACTTAAAATGTTATATTTTGGACAGGTACCTTTAGATAAGGTAATGAAAGTATTTGAAATTGCGTGTACAAGTTTATCATTACCTAGTTAATAATTAGGTATATTTCACTACGTAATATTTTATCGGCGACACAAATTGAAAATTCGAAAACCCTTCTCTAGCTCACGAAGTTATGGCGTCTTATTATGTTGATACAATAAATCTGTATTATATATCTGTATTAAAGAAAATAATAACTGAATGAATAGCAGACGTAAGTTTTTTTACTTACTTCGTTTCATCTTTCAAAAAACGAAAGAAACCCTCTCTTTGTCCCGTTTAGATGATTATAAACAGGCGTACATAGCACAATTCACGACCATTATAAATAGTAACGTAAAATAATGTTATATATTAACGTACAAATTTTGTAATGAAAAAATGAAAACTATATTCAAATATCAAAGCCGTCTTAGAGCGAAAACGGCTCGCCGACAGCCTTGTTCTAGTTCAGTCAATGTGACCGCCAATGTGCGGGGCGTGGTGCGGTATATAAAGCTAGGGAAGGGCGGAGAGTGTCCGTTCTCATTACTTATTTGTTCTCTGACGACCGTTGAGTGCCCGCTTCGAACTACGTAGTTCAAGCAATGTGCCAATAGATGGTGCTCAAATAAGTCTATAGAATGGTTTAGATCTATATGTCCATGGCGAGAACAAAAATTACGAAAACTAAACAATACAATGTTGATAATGGAAAGAAAAATAAACATAGACTGTCCTTTATCTCATAGTCTGTCTAATGTGTGCAGTAAGACTGAAAGCGTTTCGCCGTCACATTACCCAATGGGATTTCCCCCCACCGTGTATAGATACACCCACCTATTGTTAATATACCTTTACAGTTTATTTCAAGTTCGTTTTATTTTTAGGATTTAGTGTGTATCCCCCGCCGAGTACCCCACCAGAGCCGGCGCCACCCGATCACAGAATGCACGATTTGTCACGTAAGTCTCTTTGTTGTTTACCAGCCGTTAATCAGGATTTCATACGCGTGATTCTCTGTTTAGTATCTAGTTAGTAATTTACGATATGGGCAGGATTCAAACTATCATATGGTCGGGATTTAAACTATAATTCCTCCGAATGTCACCAAATTCGTAAAGCTGTAATGTGATTAAGATAATAACAAAGCATCCATGTTTTCTTGAAATAGGTAGCGAGATTGTTTGATCGATATCCTAGCAAAAATTAAGTGGCATAAATAAAGAAATAAAATGACTAGAGACATTTAATTATTAGGACAGTTCAATTTTCACTGCAGTGGTATTACGAATTTTAACTAATGAATTCAAATACCTTATATATTCATTAGATAAACTGTAGAAAACAATTTCCGGCATACTAGCAAAAGTGCTCAACTTTATGTGACTTTATTAATACAACTTGTACAATTTAAAAAAAAGTTATCCTAAGAAAAGTTATGTAATTGCTTCTATAAACATTCCATATTATTTAAACGAACATCGAACTACGAAATGCACTACATGGACATGCGGTCTTGGGGACTATCCTCTTAATACTTACGTCGTCATAATCGTCAACTCATTACACGACAAGGAGGTCCACGGCCCAATGCAGGTTGGCGATTTCATGCTTCCAGGGGTTGTGAACCTTCTTCAACATATAAATATTCCTTATTGCACGCAAAGTGATATTACAATTACCCTTGTAAAAAATTTCTACTTTAGTTTCAATACCTGTAGCATTCGACAAAAGTTTGAAAAATGATTTTATTATATTTTATTGTTACAAATTTAGTTTACAATAAAATAATGTTGTAACGCAGCGGATCTCAACTGCTCCGAGGATTCTCTCAGCACGCACGAGTCAGGTGATTGCATGACCAACGATTTTGTACTTTATTGCACACAGTGGACGGTGGACGAGTTTTGTGTGTAGATAGAAATGTCATGCCTCTTAGAAATGTCGTCTTTTAGAAATTTTGTTTCAAAATTTTTATTTGGAATTTAAGTATTTATTTTTATAAATGGAATGCATATTTTGGTGTGTATGTTTTATTAATATTTTTTTGCATGATTTTTGTTGTGGGGTACTTTAAGAAATGATTTGTTATTTTTGTAGAAACTAGCCTACACAATATTATATGCCTATTCTTGACATGACGTCATCGTAATATTTTTTTAATGTTTGTTTTTGATGGAATGTTTTATGTTTTATTTGTATAAAATTGTTATTTAGTTTATTTTATGCAATTTTTCTTTATTATTAAGGTCAATTTTTCGTTTTAACGATTTAAAAAATGACAATGTTTTTTGTATAATATGAACTAAAATAGAACCAGACTGGGAGGGAGCGTAACTGATGGAGGTTCGTAGACTCTGTCTACCCAAGGATGGAATACGTGTGATGACGTGTTTTTATGTATATATAACTATTGTAATTTGTATAAATTGATAGTGAATTATTTCTTTATTTCATTTTAAATTAAAGGAATTTTGTTCATTACCTATAAATTATCTAAATTTATGCATGTATGTAAAAAACGGACGAAACTTCTAGAAGTAGAAAATAGAATTATGAGAAACGATAATTATGACAAACAATGTTATATAAAACAATAAAGAACTAAAGGTCTCATCGCGCTTTGTTCTGATAACTTTTTTATATTAAAAAAATCGACCTCGGAAGTTCGTCTATTTGCCAAGTTTTATTGAAAACGCTTACCGGAAAGTGCACGAAACCAGATTCATCCCCTAATTTGCTATCCTTAGAGGTTGAATATTTTCTTCAAATTTAAATGGGACCAATACTGAGGTGCCTACCGTCTTTCCAACAAAAAAAAAGATGTATCAAAATAGATTCACAGATGCTGAAGTAATCGCGTAACATCCACACACAAGAAAAAATACAGTCGAATTGAGAACCTCCTCCTTTTTTGAAGTTGGTTAATAAAACCTGTACAAAATTGACGCTAGAATGTTTACTGCTAACTTGATAATTGACCTTAGTAATCAAGCAAGATGGTGCCAATACTTGTTACTTCATTATACGTAACCTTACCATTTATTTGATAGATGGAGGTGGCCTCTGGCAGCCTACAAGCTACGGTCACCGCGCTTTCACCACAGGACGGACAAGAGCCCATCCGCAGCAACAGAGAGTGCGGCATTCGCAAACTTTGAAGGTAGAGATTGTTTATTACCTGTGATCGGAAAAGATCACCGGCAGTACCTTCAGTCTGTTTTTTAAGACGAAGTAAAATTACATTTTCAGGGTTGCCAGTTTTCATAACTATTTAATAGTTATGTAGTTGTTGCCGACAGTTTTGTCGATAGATTGTGTAAGCAAAAATTTTGTCAAAAATGTCTTTGAATTTGAATGTTTCGATATTCTAATGATTACTAATTAATGCGTTATTGCCTTCTTTATTCTTATTGTGCCAGTTGGCCTACTGATATCGAAATCAATTCAAATTCAAAAACTAAGCTGCCTCCGTGGCCGAACGAGGTTCGATTCTTACGCCGGGAGAAATATTTGTATGGCCTACATTTATTTCTCTCGTGAGTTTGGGTGTAATTTGTAGTTATCTATGTCCATGGCACCCGTTACGCTTCCACATTTATATGGCGAACGGCTATGGAGTGGAATTCCCTGCCTGCAGACTTGTTCCCTGAATGTTATAACTTGGACCTTTTCAAGGCGAGAGTGAATATGCATTATTTAGGTGTGCATGCTCCATCGTCGACCTCATCGTCACTTTCCATCAGGTGAGATGGAGGTCAAATGCGCACCTATATTTTATTAAAAAAAAAACAACTGCGCTCCGATTGGCAAGCTCGAGTTGAACAATTGACGGGTGTCGTCAACTGTTTCACTTCAAATCGACCAGTTTACTTGAGCTTTGCTATAATGGACGAAAATTGCTATATTACATATTTAATATTTAATTACCGAAGAAATTTGGTTCCGTTTGTTTTTTAATTAGATGTTTTGCTGTTTTTCTCACACCACCGAATAGAACAGCACGGCATTGTTAGAGATATTATCTTTATTACAATAAATACAGAATATTTTTTGGAATATACGGAGACGTACACACAGGTCAGTAGTTGGCCTGTCTATATTTCAGTGCAAACGAGAGTTGATGTTTATAAGAGCTGTATCGCTAATGTGTTACCAGGAATATATGGCCCTTATTTCGTCTCTATTTCTGGTTATATACTTGATGAATGATAGAAACCCTAACAGTAAATCGACATGATTATTTGTAAGCTTACTACGTTGTTGACAGCATGACCAACCACTTACATTGTTTACAGCAACCCGGCAAATTGGATTTGAACAATTACACAATGGTGAGCGACGCCCTGCAACACATCACTATTGGAACACCGCACACTAGAGACAGAAAAGTAAGTAATAATAAGTTGCGACTACATTGTTCGAAGTTTTACAAATTAACTTTGCTTCTCAAGTTTTATAGAGTATTATAAAAAGCATATGTACAAGGACAATGGCAAACTCCCATATAAATTTTTGTTTTTTTGTTCTTTTTATGAAAAATATGTGAAAATATAGAGGTGAAATTCTTGAATAAATTTTGTTTTGGGTTTACTATTCTGAGAACTCAGGAAGTTTGAATTTTTGGAGGTTACGTGTTACGTAATTGAATAAAATATATTCGGTGTATTATTATATCAAAATAAACTACAGAAGCCTTAAACAGGGTTAATAGAAGCTGTATGGCCGTGGGTTTGTGACGTGACTAAAGTTCAGAGGAAATTATTTTGTATACTAAGTATGTTCAAAAGGCATGAAATTAAGCCGTAACAAAAACAGAATTAATTAATAACATACCACAGACTATTGCACTGGTAAGAGTTCCTTAGAGGATGGAAAAAGTTGGTTTCCATAGTCTAAGAGTAAGTCGGACAAAAATTATTTTTTTGTGTAACGTGCCATCTATCCTAATTTTGGGAAGTTTCTTGCCAGTTTTACCATTTTCTCTCGTGGCATTTAAAAAAAAAAATTGTAGATTTTATTTTTTGTAATGAAGTACTTAATCTTCTATTACCTTGTTACAAATCGCTAAAACATTTGATATTACGTGAACTAAATGTGGGCAATATCCGTACGGTACTGAAATTCCTTTTTTGGCGGCTAGAAACTAAGAATTAGTAGATATCAGTCCGGTTACATACTAATTAGTCATTAGAGTTTCTTTTAAATATGATTTTATTTCCAGACTTAGATAGGCCGCTATTGTAATTTGAAAAACCTAGTGTTTTTATTTTATACAAACTTGTAATTAAGACATTTGAAGACGCTAATGAATTCTTTTAACTATGATTTTGCCATTGTTCTTTTTGGAATTAATCCGGGCCCGTAAGTTCTGAATGACAATTTCCAATATTAGATTCTTTATATCGAGTTCTTAGGTTTTCGCGATTGGTAAACATCGGAACGTTACGTGTTTGTTAAACAATAAGGCCAGGTAATTAGTGTGTTTGTCTGGCACATTATTATCATTATTATTGTTAATAAAACTCTTTTTATTGTCTCTACATTGCATGCAACAATGCATGTAAAAATAAATGCTTTACATGATATCGAAATATAATCTGGTTGTGGAGGCTGATCCCTGAACTGGGAAACCAGGTAACCAGGTCTCCACCCCCGGGCAGACTGAATTCCTATGATTGAGCAGTAAATTGAGAAGCTATTGACATTCCATATACCTGATCATAGTGATATAAAAATGAACATTCCGTCTTAGTATTTATGACAATTTATTTGTTTATATCAACAGTCCCAGCGGTCCGGATGGTCGCACTCGAGCAGTCAACCTGGCGGGCATCACCATCCTTCAGGGGTCAGCTCTGAGACTGAACTAGACGCACAATACGCACAGGTAAAATTTTATTTGTCCACAGTTTTCAATCACAAAGTTCCTAATGGAGAACGTCATTAAAAATACCAGGTCGGAAGTGGCATGTGTGAAAATAATAATGTAAGACGTAGCTAGTGGAGGTAAACTAGAACCTTTGGTCTATGCTTCTCTCGATATGCGTCATAGCATATAGCCGCCATATTTCGTGGAACACATAATTAAATCTCCAAAATAATGCATTGTATTTTTAAAAATAGTGGTACGTGTAAGTTTACGGACGAATTTGTGGTTGTATTTGTGGGTTTTATGCGAATGGAACACCACATTCAAAGTTCTCGTGAATTCACTATACATATATGGTTAAATATTGTAAGTATATAAATAGAAGTTAAGTTAATAAATATATTGTATATAATAATTTCTTATAGATTAAAGATCCCAACGAATACATGGAAGCGCCGTCTATGATGCGATTGAGAAGACACCGAAGGCATGACAAAACACCGTTACATCAACCTTGTAAGTAAATCATAATAACATTTATTCAGTTAGTCAGTATTATAAACTTATACAGGCTGCTATATTTATACATAAATAAACAAGGACGGACCTCAATGCCTAAAAAAAAATTTTGTCCAATTTTTTACTTTCTAGCTACATGTTTTAAACATATACTATATTTATGGTTTTTGATAATTCATAGAATTCTTTACTACCCTATGTCACACTCAGCAGGAGCCATTTCTCACAAACTTCAGTGATTCTTCGTCGTTTGGAAAACTGTAACAATATAGTACGTAACCTTAATAATGTTGAAGTCAAAGAACCCTTTTTTACGAAAAATCTTGTTTTAATTTTTGGAGTAATATACTTTAAATATATATTACGTATTTTATTAATTTGTTATCGCACTACACACACTTATAACTGTATGTATATATTGCAAAGATTATGTAAGTATTTATTCGATATAAGAGTACACACTGCAATAACACGATATACACATAGGATATAAATATTTATGTAAATTGTTGTCACTTCGAGGCGCATACGTCCGTCACTCACACTCGGCTAGGGCCCTTTGAAAACCAGCGTCACAGCCTAGCCTTGGTTGTGACTTTAACTGAATTGGATCCTTTTACATACGCCACAGCCGCACGCATGTCGGTATTATGTAACTTGTTGTTTAAATGTTGTTACGTTGTATTTGTGTTATTTCTGTTTTTGTTTATATTAGTCTTTTTTGTGACTTTTTTTTATAATGTGGCATTGCAATAAATGGTTTCTATTTCTATTTATAATTGTTTTACTATGTATTGTCCCTCAGCTTTCTCGGAAACCGACAGCTCCGGTTCAAGCGAAGCATCAGGCGGTGGTGCTAGGGTCCACTCTCGTCGACGACATAACACGCATCACGCCCCGAGACACTATAAGAAACGGTATGTTATTTAGCATAAAAAAACGGCAAACAGCCTGTCCATGTGATGGAAGGAGTTACCGCTGTCTAGCGATATTTGACTTACTATTTTATTTAATATGGTACAGCTAAAGATAAGCAACTACATATCGTCGGTGCTTTGTAGAAAGAGCGAATGCGCCATTTCGAAAAAAAAATCAGGGGAGCATGTTTTAGTTTTTCACGACTGTTTTAAAATATTTACGTGCTGTTTTGAATTCAATGTTAAAACTTAAACTTAATTAATATCAACATTGAATTTTAAAATATTCTAAACATACGCAAATATTTCAAACAGTCGTTAAAATCTAAAAAATTTTCGCGCCACTGCGAAATTTTTTCGCCCTTTTCTACAAAATACTGGTGATATGTATATCGATTGTAATGAATATTATATTTTATTACCATGATATTCATTCTTTTTGAGAAATTACTCCACTAGTTTGTTATAATTATTAATACAAAAATCGAACACGAAGAAAAATTCCTTTAATCTGACAGGACTCGAACTTGCCTCTGTGCCAAAGAATCATTTGTGAAAAGATGAAAATAATTTTTTCTGGTAACTTCTCATAACGGAAATATTGTATTTGCCAACTTTATATTATTTAATTTCCATAACAAAAAGTTATAATAACAAATCACTCAAATACAGCGAATATTGTTTACAGATCGTTAGGTAACCTAGTAGCAGTGCAGAGTCCTCGAGTTCCAAAGCTGGGTATGTTCGTTGGACCACCTGAACTACCCACTGGATACAGAGCGAGGACACAAGAGGATAAAGGTATTAAGACACTCACCTTATCCTGTATGAACTCCGTGCGCAACACTAGCACCATCGCACAATTACAAGCCCTCGCCCATTTTGTAAGTTCTGTCATTGTAATAGGCAAAACAACCGAAATTGTTAATAGTTCTTGAATTTAATGGCTTTTTTCATTATTATTAAAACTCTTTAAAAATCCATTTAAATCTTCTAAAAATAAAATTATACGATGCGTTGCTTCTGCCTATATCCGAGTTGCCTTACTTAGAATAAAAAAAAGATACGAAACTTTTTAATACCAATTTAATTCTTTAAAGTTGACAATTAGTTTGGTTTTATGCTTTCTAAAAAAAACTTATCGTTTTATGTACTACAATTTGTTAATAATTAATAATTTATCATAGTAAATATACTCCCGGACACATAATTCGAGCCACCTTGCATTTTCAATATTAAATTCCCTTAGCTTAAACAATGCTTGATTTATCAAGAACTAATATGCAACTTTGAAACTGGTATGGTAAAGGTTAAGTCCTTAAGTCCTTATTGAAAATTTGAATTTAAAAAACAATAGAAACCTTTTTCTTCGATGCTAACTATATTTTTTATTCCTAGCCCTTTAATAATAAAAATGCAAGTTGGCTCGAATTATGTGTCCGCGAGTATAATAATAGTAAATATTTATTTCAGCTTTTCAATTTTTAAATTCGTTGAAATTGGTTGACAACAAAGTTCAATTAATAATACTAATAGTAACTAAACTAATTAATAACTGTGTAATATAATTTATTTAGTAACTAATAAGGAATAATAATCTGTGTCACTTATCTTCGACATTTCAGTCTTTATTACACTTCAGTCTTTTGCGTCTTATCGTGGCAATGGCATACATAAATTTATTGCGACTCAGCACTTAGTGACGCTGACCGCCCTAGAGTTTCTTGCTCGTTCATCTCAGGGAGGTCAGCGTAGTCAACGAGCAATAGCTTCAAAAATGACGTTTTCAAGTGTAACAATTTTACCTATGGGATAAATGATTGTTTGACTTTGACTTTGAACGCCATTAAATCCTCAAGTGTACAGGCGTTATGGCACACATGATGTGAGGCCATCGTTTGTATCGCGGCCCACAAACAGTTCGGATTAGATCCGAGAATACCCAGCTGAAGAAGCAGTCCTTGCTCGGACTAACTCGAGACCGACTCTATTTAAAGACTTCCAGATCGGCCGTGGCAATTCATGCATTGTTGCCAGTGGTGATTTCCACTGGAGATAAATGGGAAATAAAAACGTTACCAGGTGGTGACAAATGGTTTAAAAAGATGCCGTGTTGCCACTGGCGACAAATCGAATTTAAAATATCCCAGTAGTTGCCAGTGGTAACAACAGATCTTTTTGTCCCATTTGTCACCACCTGATAACATTATGTTTTTTTTTCCATTTGTCGCCAGTGGGAACAAGGCCTGTGATGACGACTTCCCAGTCGTCACATAAGCGCACGAGAGGACAAGCCGTGTTTTGTTTTACCATATAATATTTGCAAGTGGCAGGAAGAAAACATTTTTTTTTCACCTTACCCTTTTCTTTGATTATGGCTCATTAATACTTATTTTACACTCTCGCCTCTCCCATGGCCTAAAATATTAATTTTGAGTTTTTAAAAGGAAGAGGCTGTATTTCCCGCCAATGGCACAGTCGGCCGGGGTCAGGGATTCGGGTTCAAGCGGCGAACCATTAGTGCCGCATCGAGCAGGACAGCTTGCTTTATTATTATTATAATACTTAGAATCGTTTTTGCTTTCTTTTACACGATAAAAATTGATTAGTCTTTGTCAAAATTTGAAGTTACGGCCACTGGTGTTGTAAGGCACTAGATATCCCATTTGAAATACGAACATAAGTAGCAACGAAGTATTAAATAAGTTTACTTTGTCTTTCAGTAGCGAGTGACTCCAGTGAAGGCAGCTCTGAAGGCGACACGAGAAGACCAAGGCCGTTGCCCCCACCGCCGCATCACGAACCTGCACATAAGGTAACATTTTGTACAAATAGTGAAATCAGTTTCTACAACTTCTTGCGCCCATGTTACATACCATGAACGCGAGTATTGACATACCTAATATACTACCGATAGTGGAACCGGTGAAGTAAATTATTAAATAACTTTTCTTTTTCTTTTATAGATTTTTTTATTAGCCCTGCACTAGGAAAACCCTTTATGGCGGGTGCCATGGACATACACATAAATACACACACATAAATTCATTATTAATTTTAAGATAAATAATCGATAGATATAGATAGGTAATCGTACCATAACAATACATACATACAAGCGACATTGGTCACATGGAGGGACAATAAAAACCAAAAAAAATGTAGGCCATACAAATATTTCTCTTGGCCCGGGAATCAAACCCGGGACCTCTGCGTTCTAACCTTTCGGCCACAGAAGCAGTTATTATTATAATATTAGACAACATCACATACGTTGTACTGATCCTAAAGTAAGATACTAAAGCACTTATGTTATGGAAATTGGGAACAACGTCTGTGCCACAAACATCCAGACACAAGACAATATAGAAAAATTTGTTGTTCTACATTTACCCGGCTGAGGATCGAACTCGTGACCTCAGAGATGGCGACACCATGAAAAACGTGCAAGCCATTCGACCACAGAGGTTGTCAAGTTGCTTCTAATCATATGGTTAGATGGTTCGGACATGTAGAGAGAATGAATGAAAGAAAATTGACGTAACAGATTTATAACGCAAGACTAGGCGGGCAAGTACTTTTCTTTTTTATAATACCAAATACTAGGAAGTCGGGCGCCTTGTGGTAAGCGACACGCCTATCTATAACTTTTAGTGCCACTCAGAACTTTAAATCTCAAAAATCTTATAGGCACTGCCGTTTTACCGGGGTTGCGATTATTTTCAAGTTATTTCATGATGATTATCCCATCATTACACGAGTTTTTGTACTAATGTTTTATTTTACAGATATTAGGAGGCGAATACCCGTCATCTGCTCAAGATAATTCTTCATCGAGTGCGCCCGACACCAGACGTAGACAACATCCTTTTAGCAAGCATGATCGGCGACATAAGGTAAGCTGATTTACTTAATATATGGTAGGTAGGTACAATTAATATATGCATTTCAACTGATCTTGACATTTTTATGAATTTAAATGTAAATTGCGTGTTCCTACAGCTTAGTGATTTATTTTCATTATTACATCTTTTATCTTTAACAAAATGTTTAATTAGTACAATTGCATTGTCATATTAACATCGATCAACTGTTTATTCCGATTTTATGATCAAATAATTGATCCTTAAATTTTAGTGCACTAATAAATAATTGTTTTCATTTTATAAATTGGTAATATTTAAAGTTGTTTTTATTTTATTATTATTTTTGTATCTGGATATTTATTGAGTGATGTGATGATAGCTTACATATAAGAACTGTACCTTACCAAATGTTGTTTTTTAATCTTAATTTTTCTGTGTAATCTGTTGTTGTTCCAAAATGAATAAATAAATAGGTATCACAATAAAAATGTATAACAAACTTCCATAAAATATAAAAAATGAACAAAATAACAAGTTTATTTTCAAACTTAAAAAAATATTTAAACTTTAATAAAAGGTGTTATAATCTAAAAGAGGTTTTACAAGGTAAATTCTTGGTACTTGAGTTTGTTAACTAGTTGATGACAAAGATATTTTTTTAATTTAATTTTAGTACAGTAGAAAAAATACATATAATAACATTAAATTATATAAAACTGTTGGTGAGTGCAACAATTAAGAGACTAGTTGTCTCTTCTACTGTTTGCAGTGCCCTGTTTAGGGTTCATAATTTATAATAATAATAAATTTATTTATTTCCACAACATTTTTACAAAAATTACAAATACAAGTTGTACATAATTTGATCTCAAGATTAATAATAAAAACACCTGTAATGTTCATTATGGAACGCAAATAAAACAGAATAAAGAATATCATGTCTATCACCTAATATCAGTGTCGGATTGTTTTGCAAGCACAACGCTGAATGAAGATCATTTTAAACCTTACATTTTTAAATTCTTATCTTTTGATGTTTACTTTATATTTCTCATAAGAAAATTAGGCTATATTGATATATATTTTTTTTTTCGAACTGTTGGCCCTGATAAAGGGAAAGCGGAAGCCGTGGTAGTTTAATGGATTGACCTACTGTCTCTCAAGCCGAAACCGCCGCGGGTTCGAATTCGTGCTCGTACCTCTTGAGTTTCTCGGAATTTATGTGTGAATTTGATATGAAATTTACCTTGAGCTTTTCGGCAAAGGAAAACTTCTTAATAAAACCTGCGCGTCGAAGAAAGTTCACAACCCTTGGAAGGCGTGTTTAGCCCCAACCTGCAGTAGGCCAGCGTGGCAGATTACTGCCTAAACCCTCGCCTGAGAGGTAACCCGTGCCCAGTGCCAGACGTATAAATGTGTTGATGGAGTTGATCCTGAAAAGTAACCGCCCCTTGGGCTGTCACTTCTGTTAAGTGCAAACAGCAACAGCGCCACTTTTTCATGGTTTTGATACCATAATACATCTTATTAAATAATTTGATATTAATAGCGTTTTTTAATTTGTTCTAGGAATTCTCAAAGAGCAAGGAGTCGAAGAAAAATTCAACAACACAGCCGCCGCCACCGTCTGTCCAAATTGGACCTGTGGTAAAAACTTGAAATATGTTGTATTTTTCATTTTACTTTACTTGTTTTCTTTTTTCTGATTATGATTACTGACGTAATTTCTTGTGGCAGTAGCAGTGCACATCAGATATTTGCGGTTTAAAGCTCTGAGTGGCACTGCAACTGCTATGAACAGCGTTTCAACTGCGCCTGTGATAAAGCCAAAAAGTCTGCCGAAGGCGGGGCAGCGAGTATGTCTTTCAACTTCTTATTTTCCATACAGGGTCCGCATGGAGTACCTCTATTCGTAGAAAAATGCATATCGTTCATTGAGCGAGAGGGGTTGGCTTCCGAAGGTCTCTACAGGGTGCCCGGCAATCGATCACATGTCGACATGCTCTTCAATAAGTTTTATGAGGGTAAGTACTCGCCACATTACTCATTTGTACCGGTAACATCATAACCTCGATAGTTTACTTAAAGGCATTTTTTTGGAGATCCAAAACACTAAGAAGTCGTTAAAAACAAAAAAAAACAAAGGTCTGCATAAACAAGCACATAGAAAAATTCCTAAGGTCCGCTGGTTCGTTCCGTGGCTTAGTTGGCATAGCGTCGGGCACGGTTTGCTAGAAGACGTCAGTTCGAATCCGGTCGGATCAAAGGAATCTTTTCTAAGTGTTCGATCTTTGTTATTGATAGCAGCAGTAAAGCTCCTTGTGAAAGAGTTCGTCCAGGGAAGTACTGCCATCTTGCCTATTTCTGCCGCGAAGTACTAATGTCAGCATTACTGTGCTCCGGTTTTGAAGGGTAAGGGTGCTGGTGAAATTACAGGCACGAGGGACTTGTGAACTTATGACTCAGGGTGACGGGCGCATCGTGAAGCTTACCATCAGGCGCACGACTAGTTCGTCCCGGCACTTGATATAATAAAAAAAAATATAACTGTCTATAATTTCAAGGCACCCTGGGCACTGTAAGTATAATACATATACTACACGTGTGTATAATATATATTTCGTTTTCACACAGATCCGAATGTCGACCTGGAGTCGCTAGACATTCCTGTGAATGCGGTGGCAACGGCGCTCAAGGATTTCTTCTCTAAGAAGATGCCTCCATTGCTCGATGAGGCCAGCATGCAGCAGCTAGAGGATATTGCAGGTATGTATAAGGCTATCCGCTTGCAGTTTTTATTAGGATATTTTATTTTATTAGTATAATTGATAAGGCAACTAGCTATCTGGCTAGCTTTATATGAAAACAGACTACGTCAATTTCAGCGTTATAATAAAATGTTGTATATAGTTTAGTTAATTATACTAGTTAGTTTAGTTAATTACTAACATTAGTAAAAAAGAAGTAAATAGTAGCATTGACGTGTTCTTGAGAATTCATGAGAAGTGTGGGTGTAAATTCATACTAAGTGCATTCCCTTACTGCTCTAACCTAGGCATCGCTCGTAATAAGTATATATATAACATAAATTCGCACATACATAATTTGGCTTGCCGTCATAGTGACGTTATATTTTGTTTTGACATTAATAAGTTCGTAAGGAACTTCAAACTTTTTGAGGATAATTTACTTTTACCCCTAAGGTATCTAAGCATATAGCTAGTTTGCTATCTTTTAATATTAAGGACGCTGTTATAGAAGATATAACACAGTCCCACGACAGTGCTCCTACTTTAAGTAGCAACAGTATACATTTTACTAACCATAATTTAAGCTAAAAAACACGACAACAGAAAAGTCTAATCGTTTCCATGTAGTACATCAAAATATTCAAGGCTTTTCTGGCAAAATATTAGAAATAAGTCTTTTTTTGCACGATATTTCCGTTGACGTGTTTTGTGTTACAGAACACTGGCTGAAAGATTACGAAGCCATTAACAATATAGAAAATTATGTAATAGTCAGTTCGTTCATAAGAAAGAGCTTAAGTAGAGGCGGATCCATGATTATTATTAAGCGTAACTTAAAATTTAAAGAGCGTAAGGATATCACAAATCTTTCTACTGAACGAACTATTGAGATTTCATGTGTGGAATTGGATCAGTTTGTCGTCTTATGTGTATACAGGCCCCCCCCTGCTAATTTTAACGAGTTTGAATTAATTATGGAAGACAGTTTAAAGCGGATTTTTCCAACCAAAAAAAACGTAGTAATATGTGGAGATTTCAATGTAAACCTGTTGGAAAACTGTTCTACTTCTGTAAGACTCATTAATTTATTTCAAAGTTTTAACTTGATTAATCTTTTTTTAGAACCAACTCGCATTACTGCCTCCTCTTCTACTTGTATTGATAACATCTTTTGTAACACAGACGCAGTGTCTAAATCAATAATAAATTGCTTAAGATCCGACCATAGTGGCCAATTGGCTTCTTTTAATTGTAAAATGAGCAAGAAGGTAGACCAATTTCTCTGCAGACCGATTACCACAGAACGAATAATTAGATTTCAAAATAATATCGGCAACAGTTTAAATTCCCTATCCCATATACCGGAGGATCCAAATACTTTATATAACACGATATTTGGTTTAATTAAAAATGAATTTGACAATATATTTAAATCGAAAACATTAACTTTCCATAGAGAGACTAAATTCAACGACTGGGCAACAGTAGGTATTCATAAGAGTAGGTCTCGTTTGTATGAGCTATATGCTATGAAAACTTATAATACTAATTCCAATTTCATAGAATATGTTAGAATTTATTCGAAAATATTTAAAAAAGTTTGTGTAGCTGCTAAGGTTAAGTTTCACAGCGACAAAATTAGACAATCGATAAATAAATCTAAAACTACTTGGAGCATAATAAATAAAGAGTCAGGCAGGGTTAAACTACACGATAGAGATATAGTTTTAGAATTAGACAGCAAACTTATAAAATCTAAAGATAAAGTAGCCCAAGCTTTTGAATCGTTCTTTTCGGAAATTGCTGTGAACACTACAAAATCATTAAATTCCTACCCTTCACTTGCTATTGATCTCCTAAAGGAAAATGTTAACGTTTGTGGCAGTTTATTTAATTTTCGTCATGTTAATCCACAAGACATCATAAAAGCTTTTAAGTCAATACATGTTAAAAAAACTGAAGATCTCTGGGGCATATCAACTAAAGTTATAGACTCAGTTATTAATCTCATTTCCCCACAGTTAGCTGTAGCTTTCAATAGGTGCGTTGACGAAGGTGTTTTTCCCGATTTAATGAAATACAGCAAGATTATTCCCTTATTCAAAAGCGGTAGGAAAGTTGATCCTAGCAACTATAGGCCCATTTCAATTTTACCAGCTTTAAGTAAAATATTCGAAAAGGTTATGCTAACTCAATTACTGTCCTTTTTCGGTAGGAATCATATTTTTCATAGTGAACAATACGGGTTTACTAGTGGTAGATCGACTAGCGATGCGGGGGTAGCGTTACTAAAACACATCTTTGATGCTTGGGAAAGGTCCCAGAACGCTATTGGTGTTTTCTGTGACCTCTCAAAGGCATTTGATTGCGTTGATCATAATACTCTTATTAGTAAGCTGGAACATTACGGTGTAAATGGCAAGGCGTCGAAACTTGTCTCGTCATATCTCAACGGTAGAATTCAGAAAGTAGGCATAAATGGAGCGACTTCTTTGGGTTCTCCAGTAAAAATGGGTGTTCCGCAGGGCTCAATACTTGGACCTTTCTTATTTCTGATTTATATTAATGATCTGCCAATCTTTGTTAAGGACCATTGCGAAATAGTGTTGTTTGCTGATGACACATCCTTGATTTTTAAAACAGACAGACATGACATAAACTATGACCGTATTAATGATATCCTCTCTAAAGTAGTTTATTGGTTTAATGCTAACAATTTATTGCTTAATGCCAAGAAGACAAAATGTGTTAAATTTGAATTACCTAACGTAAAATCGACTAGTCCAAGCATAGAAATAAACGGAGAAAAGTTAGACCTTGTTAATAAAGCAGTCTTCTTGGGAGTGACCTTAGATAGTAAACTTCAGTGGTTTCCACATATATCGTCCCTGGCCAGCAGATTAAGCTCCGCTGCATACGCAGTCCGCAGAATACGTGAGCTTACCGATGTTAGTACTGCTAGACTAGTTTACTTTAGTTACTTCCATAGTATAATGTCCTACGGGATTCTCATGTGGGGTAAAGCGGCAGATATTCAAACCATATTTGTATTGCAAAAACGAGCGATTCGTTCTGTGTACCGTCTAGGCTCTCGGGTATCTCTCAGAGAAAAGTTTAAGGAGACTGGTATCATGACCGTGGCATCACAGTACATTTACTCAAATATTTTATATGCCCGTAAAAATATACATAATTTCAATAAGAAAGAAGATATCCATAATATTAACCTTAGAGCTAAGTCCAAACTCATGGTACCACGATTTCGTTTAACCAAGGTAAACAACTCTTTTATGGGGAACTGTATACGTTTTTACAATAAGATTCCGGAGCATATATTAAGTTTATCATTTCCTAAGTTTAAAAACTACATTAAAAATATTTTGATCGAAAAATCATATTACAAAATTGAAGACTACGTGTTAGATAAAGATGTATGGAAAGACGACATGGCTCCAGAATCCACACAAATTTGATTCAAAATGTATTCCATAGCATTTAAGTTTATTTGAAAAGAGCAATCCCTAGAGTTTCTTGCTCGTTCTTCTCAGGGAGGTCAGCGTAGTGAACGAGCAGTACCTTAAATGTGACGTTTTCAAGTGTAAATTTATTTTACCTATGGAATAAATCATCTTTGACTTTGACTTTGACTTATAATTGTTGTCTCGGAACCACCAAAAGTTGTGTATTGAGTTGCATATGCAAGTATCGCAGGAGTTTATAGTTTGGCAACAACATACATTGTAGCGAACCGCAGCAATCGCTACGAATGTTTTTGAACTTTATTTAGTCCTTTTATTAGTAAATTTAAATATTGGTTTTGGCTTTTTTTTTATTTGTCATTGTTTTTGCCTGTTTTTCGTGTCCATAGACATTTTATGCTTTGTGGCTGTTTTAATTGATCTTGCTCACTTCTGATTAGCATTCGATTTGTAAGTAGCGACGTACACAACTCACGAAAGTTCCTGTAAAATATTGAAAACTACAAGTCTAAATGTATTTTTTCCATCTTAGGCAATTGTCGATCCAAAAACAGATCAAACATAAATCAAACAGCACTCTCGAAACGGGACGTCTATAGTTCGGCCGTTTTCCCGCTTGGGTTAACTATGGAACTACACTCGTAGGCCGTCAACGAAAAGACGGGTCTGTTCGAAACTGTCAAATCGCGTTGTCATACATTCTTAGTCCAGTCCCAATCGAAACTCAAGTCTGTAGGTCATCCATAGTGGGAAAACGAGAATAACTATGAATTTCGTGCTTCGAAAGTAGGGCCCCAGTTGCGGCCTCTCTACATTGGACAGACGAAACGAAACATTTCAACCCGCGTCAAAGAAGATTACAATAAGCGATATAAAAATAGCTGACATCACGCTCCGTCGCTTAAAGTAGTTTGCAGGCAGCGAACATGTCTTGGAGAAACCTGCAAATTCAATTAAGTTTAATAAACACCAGGTCCTCGCAAAAGAAGTTCGTTTTCTATCCCAGATGCTGTGAGAAAGCCATTGAAATAAAAAAAGTCTTAATTTCAACGGGGAAGATGGTTACTCCATACCACCAGCTTGCGATCCAGCATACACTCTGTTGAAGAATCCCGAGTAGATATAGGACTTATAGAATTTGTTGATATGTTGTTTTATTTCATTTTCGAGTTCTTAGGTTTTCGCGATTGTTACACATAGGAAATGAAACTATTTTTCCCGATTTAAATCGCGTATATTTGTTTTTTCAAACAACGTCGAAACGTCGGTTTGTTTGAAAAAACAAATATACGCGATTTAAATCCGGAAAAATAGTTTTATTTAATTTTTTTAAATTTCCTTTTATTTAAAACAATATTTGGTTTTTGTAAGTAATCATAGCCTAAGACGAAAAATATTCGGTATTGCAGCAATGCGCGGCTGCATCGCGGGTGGTGTGGAGCTGAAGGACCGCAGCTGGCGGCTGCTAGCGCTACGGTCACTGCTCTCTTCCGCGCTGCAGCCCACGGCCAGAGCCACTCTGGATCTGCTGTTGGACCATTTTTCCAGGTACACCATTACTATAATTTGAAGAAGAGAGTAAAATGACATTTCCAGGGTTGCCAGTTTTCATAAAATTTTAAATAGTTATCTAGTGTCGACAGTTTTATCGATAGATTGTGAAAGAAGATAAAATTATGCCGAAAATGTCTAAATAATTGTTACGACGTTATTATTGCATTATTGCCTTCTTTATTCTTATTTTGACAGTTGGCTCTAATATCGAAATCAATTTTTATTTGTATACGTTTAACTAGAATTCTTATAGCTTTCTTCTATAAATTCTTACACCATCCGCCACGGACTTTTAATTTCCGTCGTTGACAGTGCGAAAGTATGTAAATAACAATTTTAATGAAATTTACTTACCAACATTGCAAGATAGAAGTTCTGAATGGATCCTTTTACCTATTTAGTAACTTTATTGTATTAAAATTTTACGCAATGTGATAACGTGTGTAACGTGTTGCAAGATTGAACGAACTTGTGTTCTAGCTTGTATGAAAACGATTTATAACTCTCAATCTTGTATTCTAGAGTGGCGGACAACTCGAAACTAAACTCAATGGATAGCAAGAATCTAGCAATTTGTTGGTGGCCAACCCTCTTACCAGTGCAGTTCTCCGACATGGGTCGGTTCGAAATGTGCCGACCGTACCTGGAGGATATTGTTCAGACGATGATTGATCAACACCCTTTTCTATTTCGAGGACGAGAGGCTTTTGTTATGGTGTGAGAATCACATGTAAGTGTTTTTTTTAATACATGTGAAAAGCTTGTAAACCGCCAGTGTCGCGAGTAATGAAATAGACGACTCGGTCCACATAAATTTATTGTATAATAAGGCAGAAAAAGATAAAAGACAAAAGAAGACTGTAACTATAAAAATAGTATAAAACACAGGCACAGTATCAAAAACACTCCGTACTTAAATGCTACGAAACTTGTGTAAAACATAAAAGAACTTATCCCAAAAGGGCCGTATTTTCTACAAATATTAGTTAGGTTATTTGATTTTAGTGATATTAGATAGGTTACATGATTTTAATTGACAACTGGTAAATCAGATCAGAATATCTGGTGAAGACGAGCAGGAGAGCTCGCTTCAGACATTAGGTAGAGAGTGACGACGGAACGAAACAAAATGAGAATTACGAGACAAAAGAATTAAAGAACGATTCAAAATTCAAAAATAAGTGCCCAGGAACCAGAGAAAAGGTGATTTTAAGGTGGGATGACGATGTAGGAGGTCGCATCGTCACACCTGTAACCAATACTGACCTCGGAAGAAAGAAAGACACAAGCAACAAAATCATAATTCAGAGATAAACGAATATAATATTCCTGATTAAAATAATAGTTAACAAGTTTGACAATAAGAAGATTGAAAGAAGTGCCTACTAAATTATTCAATTGCTGTTATGTAAAACGATAATAAAAAATATTTCATTGATAATTGAAATTAATGGACAAATAATTTCGCACTTTTTTCAGTCAACTCACTTTTCAACACAACAACTTTTCAATAACAGAAAATGTTCATAAAAATCTTGTTGAAATTATCCCGTGTGCAACGCGACATAACTGTTACGTAAACTGTCACTCCTCCCGCACCGCGCAGCTACCTCAGGAACCGTCTCGTTTATGCCGTAGGCGTGTACCATTATGTTTATACATTTTTTTTGTGAAAATACTACACTTTAAATGATACAGAAAAAAAAATGGCGGGCTTTTAAAGATACAAGTATAGTTTTTACAAAGATTGTTTTTATTTTAAGTATATTGTGAAGAAAATACGATGAAAGAAATAGTGCTGAAGAAAGTTAGAACTATAGTCCTTATTTTAAACCATACTACAAAAGGTTTTATCCTGAAAATTCCACTAATTACGAATTCAAAGTTTTTGTTCAAAGTGACAATAATGTGATTTAAATAGTGAAAACATAAATATTGGCTCCCGTCGTTTAAAAGACTATTTAGAAAACCCAAACAAGAGAACTAAGTTATCTTAGAGAAAGTGAAAACATGATTTACTAGAACTACAATGGAAAATATTTATTGAGGATCCCGATAATTAAATGCAGACATGGCTCAAAGGACTTGTCCAAGCCAAAACTCTAAAAAAAAAAAAAAATAGATGCAAAGATAAGAGTAGCAACAGACGCTGGTTCGTGCCCAGTCAAATAGAAGGATTTTTTCTTTGTGTTGTTTGGCCTTAGTATCGATAGTTGTAACGTAGAATTTCTGTTCCAGGAACCCACAATGCAAGTTGCATTCGTGATGGACGACGTCTGACGTTTACGTGATGTTCAGACGAACATGGCAGTATAGGTCGTTGATCTCGCCGCAAGTGAGGTTATACATACGACAGGCATAGAATAAGTTTGGCTATATTGTGTACTGCGATTACGGGCAACTTGAAAAGGCAATTGTCAAATGGAGATGGTATGCTGTCAAGTGGCTTTCCAGTTTGACCGTGTTATAGCTATTGTTGTTTGTAGGTTTTTAATAAATAACCAGTGTCTCAGTATTGGATGGCGAATTTTTAAAGCGTTGTTTAGAGAACGCTATGGTTTTTTTTACCGCGAAATATGCTTGCGTAATACGTTGTGTCTGCCTTTTTTGTATAAAAAATAACCTTTTCTTTGCTTCATTTTTGTCGAACATTTTTTTTGAGAAATAAAAAAAATCAGTATTTTAAAATTAGATGTTACTCAAATTATATCGCATTTCTAGTGTTAAGAAATCGTGCACAAAAAAGTATTTAACGGGAAAGTTTTAAAAATAAGTATTACTATGATATCTATGCTGTGGCGTAAACTTTGAACTAATTTAAAAAAACCCTTTTCTGTTTTTTTAATACCGATAAAGATCGGAAAAGATGGCGACAATTATAGATAAGTTAAATTAGTTCAGAAAATTTACGCCCAGAATAGACATCCATTGGTATAATTAAAATTAATATTTGTAATGGCAAACATCACGTAATGCACATTCCGTTCAGTCGAAATTTAATTATGAATGAATATATTATAATAATATAAAAATAGTGATATTCGTGTAATCTTTATTTTAATGTATATTGTGTATACTAGTATCCGTAAATCACAGAAAAATAAGTTGTGGAATTATAAACACTATCTTATACAGAAATACCTCTGACACAGTCACATTGCACAACACGCACGCACGACGTTGCCATATTGACAAATGAATCCACCCGGATTAAGTAGCTTACATGCCACGACATCCAGAAGATGACTGTCGCGTCCATCCTCCATGGGTGCACAGACAGACTGACCGCAAAGACAGACTGACTAGACTGACAAGGATTCAAAATTAGACCGACTTTCTTTAAGAAAAAACACGAAAACGAAGTCACACACACCGTACAATGACAGAATGGATATTTTAATCGAGAATCAGACTTATCCAAAAAAAGAACAGTACATCCAACTATACGAATTATCACTTCTATGAACTGCCGACACATTATGATGGCGTTTCAATTTTGAACAAAGAATTTTATAAATCGTTAGTTGTGCCCAGCATTGCAACAACAAATTGCATGCATTGCAACGCCACAGAAAAAAAAAACTGTTTATCTTCGGCCGTCCTTATCGCCTGAAGAAACATTACTTGAAACAATAGGAAATCACTCGTCTTATAGTGAATACCTTGTATGTGATTTCTATGTAATTTTTCAGGACGAAGATAAAAATGTGGTGTAAAATGAAGTAAACGCAATAATGTTTGTGGTTACCATTTTAATTAGTTAAATTATACCTCTTCCAGATACTATATTACTTTAATAATATATTTGAGCATGAAGTTTACAAGTTTTTCTTCAACAAAAATCGGTAAAAACGAACTCTATGAAAACGCGTATGCAAAGTTTTCATTCTTAAGGCGACGATATGCAAAATAACCGCCATTATGTCTGTACACACATTTGTTGATGCAACTGACTCAACTGATATTTTATTTTGTAGTGGTTTTTATTAGAAATTTTTGCACGCCTGACAAGTAATAAATAATGGTACGCATATAGGACAAAAATTAATTTGTATACACATAGATTGCAACTTATTTTTCCGTGATAAGCTTACGTATGTTTATGTATAACCAATACCATGCTTTTGAATCTCAAAAAAAAAACATATTACTTTAGTTTATCCAACTATTAATCTATGTCTATTTTACAATTTCTTTTATTTAATAAGTATATTTATATGAAATCTCGGAACAAAACGTATTATAGCATAATTGGTGTCTGTTTAGGTATCACGCTAGATAGTTGTGTCACTTAAAAATTAATCTTGTTGTTATAATATAAAATTAATAATCACTCGCTCACTTTAGTACGTAGTCTTGAGATAGATACCCGTGAAAAGTGTCAAATTCTCTGGTCGATTAATTTTATCACTGATTGTGCTGTAGTGAGCGGGCTTTTTTACTGTTGTTGATTGTACGCGAGTCGATGAACGTCATTGCACCGCATTTAGGTAATTTTCAGGTGAGTCTCTACTTAATTTCCGTTGCAATTTTTATTATTAAGTATGCTAAAATATTATTATGAAGTATTATTTAATATTCGAGAAATAATTATTTAATATATCGCACCCCGCATGGAAGAATGGCATGAATGAGTCACGTCGAACATATTTATTGCTCCATTAGATACAGAATAATATAAACCTCATGAGGATGTGGATTGGAGAGGTCCAATTCTTGTAACTCTATCTACAATATTAGTCAATAGAATTACAAGAATTGGAGAGGATGTGGGTTATATTTTTCTGTATCTAATGGCGCAATAAACATTTTTTACGTAACTCAACTGCCATTCTTCCATGAGGGGTGCGATATTACGATAATATACTCGAATAATAAAAATTGCCACCAAAATTAAGTAGAGAATACTAATCTGAAAATTAGTTATTTACACCCAACCAGCGCAAGCATTTGTGTATTGGATATACCGTGCATTATATACACGTGTGGGTTGTATACAAGTTGTTGTATACAAGAAAATTATTTAAATAATCCCCTTTACCCGTATTATTTTTATAAATGTTTTAAAATACACACTTGAAAAATTAAGTTCACATGAAGATGTGCTTTCAGTGTTTGGTATCATATTTTGAATAGCGAGGAGAAGTCGTGTAGAGTTGCCAGAAAACTGGATGCTAATAATCAATAACGTGTCATTCAACATTCATATGCTAAAATGGCAATGGTTTTAATAGTTCATTCTAAAATTTACTTATAAAATGGAAGCTTTTGCTGTTGTGCTTGTTGTTGGGGAATTATTTCCGACATGATAGCAAATGCTGGTTAAAGACACTTTTAAATTCCGTTAATACTTCACTTTTGTATAGGATGATGCAACCAAAAGGTCATAGTCATAAGGGCTTCGGCTACGTATCACTATAGACTGGTTGATTAACTCTGAGTGTCAAATTTGAACTGGCCTTGATTTGTTGATATTATTATCAGTGGGTCCTACTCTAAAGTTAAGATTTAACTATTTCAATAGGGATTTGTGTCTCGTCTTGACGATCATTGACTCGCATATCAACGTAAGCCATGCTTCTTTGTATCTGTAAAGCATTACTGACAAGTCCTATTAATTCTTCGTGCCTCTATCATCAGGCAGCTTGAAATTGTTTGAGACTGAGTCAAATCCACTTCTTTTTGATTTGTATAAAGATCTTGATTGAATCTTCAAATATGTTATTTTTACTTTATTCTAAATACGTATTTAATCGAACATAATGTTAATAGGGAAATGATATTTATGGCAGGACAATGATTTTTAATATTGAGGTGGGAATGATTTTTTTGTAAAGCGGGAAGGCCTATTTTGTATATTTAAGTGTTTATAGATAGACTGATGTAGAATGTACTTTTGTGAAATTATTTTTTTTTATAAGGACACGTTTTGATGATATTTATGTGTGTTTGTTATTTAAAATGCCAAAAGCGATATAGAGAAACGATTTTTTTTTTCACAATAGGGGCTGAACTAAAAACGTGGTTAACGTTAAAACATTCACTAAAAACCGCACGTGAAATTAAACATCCTCAAAAGCGTCCAATTAGCCATAATTTTGATTTGACAAGTGTTCTCGCGATATTTAAATTGTTAGTCCCTATTCAGCGTGCTTATGACTTGCATAGGTATACAGGGTGTAATCGTTAAGTGTGCCTAGGTAATTATTCCGTAAATATAAGAGATATACAAAAACCTTTAAACTGTATCTATAAAGTATAATATAAAGTACGTTATTAGTGAGTAAAACCACATGAATAACTTTTTCAAAATAAAACTGGAAATGTGAATAATTTTAATGTTAAATGCTCTTTGACATTCATAGAGAGGCTTTAGTTTCGAACAATAGCTTTGAATACAATTTTTTTTGTATTTACTTGAAAATAAATATCACTTTGTTTTTATTCAATTAAAAGTTTTATTACTTTATATAGCAGTTTCGTTACCTGTAAACGTATTGTTACCCTTAAAGCAGGTCAACTGCAGCCTCTACAAGTTTCATTATTAAGTGTATTGAAGCCGTTAACGTTATTTTTGATGTTTATACTTTAATGTAAAAAAAGTTCTTGATATCATTTTTCTCATTAGGTAACGTATTTTCGTATCAGTTTAAACGTTTTTGATGTCTCTTATATTCACGGGATAATCGCCTGGACACGCTTAAGGATTACACCGTGTATTATATTAATTTCCAGTGTACTATTTGCTTGCAAGTAAGTGCATGTACTCCCAATGTTTATTCGAATGATATTCAAAATTGCATATAATAAATTTTGCAACCTCCATCGATTTGTGTTAGCATACAACATTTGCTAAAATGAATGTAATTATTCATAAGTATGATTAATATTTAATATTATACTAGATGTCTCCATTAAGCTTAGTTAAGGTACGCGTAAGTTTTTATCGATATAGTAAAAGCTGGAAAGTTAGATTTGGACTCTATGTGACAAGTTTTGAGAACGAATATCCTCTGGCAATGTTAGAAGTCAGTCCAAAAGTAACTTGCCATCGTTTTATGTCATTTATATCACCTGTCACCTTAGCGCACCTTGTTATGGAACAAGTGCGGAGGAGAATTATTATATCATGTCCATTAGGGGAATGATGTGATGGAATTTTTTATATTTTACAAATGGAATCTAAAAAGACATGGCCTATCTGTGTTTATAATTTATTTTTATAGAAATGTTTGATTTTCTTAGATCTCAATCTTGGGTGAAAACAAACTTCATTTGAGATTTCCCCTAATGATTTTTAAATGCAATTTCTATATAAATATTCGATGTAAATATTGTACATTGGTTCATTTATTTTTGTGTAATTTATTTATTGATTTTTTTAAGAGTTTTAAAGCCATATTCTTTGTTACTCCATTTACTATTTAACATTGAGTTTGTTTTTTATTTCTTTTTTATATATTTATTTGTCCGAGCACGTCTTCTAATTGTTTTAAAGATTTGTGCCATTTTTTGGTTTAATTACGGTGTTTTGGTGATTCTTGAAGTTTGTATGATCTGTTTTTTTTTATCCAAATATTTTCCTGTAGGTTCTCGAATGTTCTAAGTAGAAATCAATGTACGCTTGGTGGTCTGATGTCTCATTGGAAGGATTATAGTCCTATTCGGTGGTTCTTGTGTCGAATATTGCTTGCATCGATTAGGTCGATGCTAGGTTAGGACTGGGTGTTTTGCCTTCAATGTTTAAGAGTAATTAATACATTGAAAGACTGCTTGGTGTCGAAGGAACTGACGCTTATTCGAGAAAACGTGTTAAACAAAAGTATTAACCACACTTAAGGAAAAAAACCTAAATTGTATTCACTATTCGTCTTAACGTATTTTTTTATTTGTCTGTGGTAAAGAACACGTTATTTGAATTATGGCATAAGTAAAGTTTCGTCAAAAATGTTTATTGCTACATTAGATACAGAAAAATATAACCCACATCCTCTGCAATTGTTGTAACTCTATCGACTAATATTGTCGATATATACGGGTCAGACTGGTCTGATGGTCATGGTTGGTCTGGTACTTGAGGTTTATTTAACCTTGTTTTGTACACTAGTGTCAGTTCCATATGTAGATTAGTATCGGTGTTGTGATAATATGGAGACCCAATGAGACACGGGCGACCCCAACCATTTTGCTATGTGCGTCTCAATTACTGTAAAACACAGTTCAAAGGAATGTGTCATATTTTATAATAAATAACCATCTATGTAATAATTTTGTGTTTTTATTTTAAATTCCTAAAATTTTATTGAAGCATGGTTATAATACTTCGTATAAAATGGCTACTGATCGCCTGACATCACATGTAAGACCAATTTATAATTAATTGTTATTTTGGAGACGGCCTGGAAAATATTGCTATATCGCAATAAGGTCTGTCGTACCGATCTTTTTTATGTACTTGTTCTTGTGTGCAATAAAAAGTATATATACTGTATTTTGAATAACCAGTCAGATTTGCTCTCTCTGTTGTGATGCAGAATTCATATAACGTCTACAAAAACAAAGTCAAAGACTTAGAGCTAGAGACAGGAAGTTCTATATTGCATTACTAACTCCAAAAATTGCGTTACGTAGCTCGGTGTCACTCACCAGCCGGTTATGTTCAATCTCACAACTTTGAGTTACGACAGTTTTTGGTTTTATGTGCGAATTATTTATAAAACTTGACAGTGTTGCCCAGTTTTAATTATCTTTCAAAAGCGTATCAACACTGAGCGGGAAACACGTAATAGGTACTTCGGCACAAAAAACCAATACTAACTCGTCTTTACTTTTTACGTTACGTTGATGCTATTTTTGGCGTTACGGTATCTTAGTACCTTGCAACAGATATCATTGTTTAGGTCATTTCTTGATCTTTAAAATGAGCTTCAGATTATTGTTTTAGTCTTATTAAAACGTAAAAGGATCAAATAGGGTCAAAAGTGTGGCCTGAGTACAATTAGTCGGTGTCCTATTTTATTACAATCTTTATCACCCGTCTCTTAAACATTTTTAAACTTTCGCTAGTGTGGATTAAGTCAACACTGCAATTTTCATCGGACTGTCTTTTGCCGTTTACGATTTGCCTGCAGATCCATAAAATTCACTCGAGTTTGCTATTCAGCAAGAGTGTTTTATGATAAAAAAATATATTGTAAATAAAATTCACCCGATATACATTTATTCGATAAAGGTACCATAATATAAGTTAAAAATTAAATAATAAGAATCACAGATTAATTACATTGCTTTTCTTACAAGCATAATTTTACAGCTAGAGTTTTAGTCCTAGAGTTAAGCTGGGTTTCCACTATACAAATGCCTTCGGACCGAGTGCGCTCGTACGAGTTAAATCGTATAGGGGTCCACTCGGATTTCGGTTTACACCACCAAGTAGCATTTGTTTCCTTGAACAATCAAGATGACAACAACTGATCTGCTGCTAAGAGGTTACAGTATAGTACAAAATCATGAAAGGGAAAAACAAAGCAAGAAAAAAATTTGGACCAGTAAATAGATTTTAAGGCATGACCAACTGAGTGCTTCAAATAATTTTATTCGAGAAGTGGAAGAGAAAGATAAACACGCGTTTAAAACATCATATTGTCACGTTCATTCATTGACCTACCAATAAATGGACGTCGGGTTCGCGTTGAAAAGTGCCCGCATCTGTAGGGCGTTAATATCGCATACAGAGCGTTAATTGCGCAGCAGTCTTCGTTTGTTCGACTAACAGCGCGGTTGTCAATTATGCAGTGCCATTTAATAATAACTTGTAAAAATTACTGCAGTAAAGTCTAAAAACAGAATTTTGTATCATATTTTCACTAAACAAATATATTGTGTTATCATAGTTCTCATTTAAAAGTGTTATTTTGTTCAGTTTTATAGTATTTAATTTATATATAAATGAATCGTAAATATAAATTACAAAAGCACACAAAATTATGAAATAGCTAACTGTCCTTTTTCTACACTAAAATTACGCAAAAGATGGAAAGAGACCCATTACGTCAGTTTCAAGAAGTTTATATAAACTTCTTGGTCATTTTCAATTGTTCGAACCACAAGCGATTGAAATATTTAGAACAAAGAAACTATAAAGTTGCTTTGATTTTAATCTTATTTTTAAAAGGATTTTTTTTAATAAACGTAAGCAATAACATCGTTCATTCCACTTTTTCTTAAAATTATTGGCGCCATTTTGTTTTTATAAAATGATCCCAGTCCACTCTGATCAGATCCGACGTTCGAGTGCGCTTGGATCACGAGTTTACACGATACGAGTGCCGTCCGAATAGTCATCTGAGTGGACTCGATCCGAGCGTACTCGTATAGTGAAAACCCGGCTTAAACAAGTAGGTACTTAAGACATAAATAATCATTACGTAAAGTTCCAATGTAAAATCCACTCCTACATTGTGCAGAACTAATATTACATTGTGATAAGTAACTCAATGTATTAATTTTTCTAGCGTAAATCGAAATCTTCAATGGAATTGTTACGATATTAAAACAAGTTCTGAAAGTTTTTCATTGTCGAGTAGACAATCATATATATACATATTTACATTATTTTCAATGTTTATTGTCAACGACAATAACTGATAATGTATTTAGTGCATTTCGAATTACAGAACTGATGCAGCGGAATCCGTCACTAAAGTTACTCACGCCCGTATTAATAAACAACCAACTCTGGTATGAGATGTCCTTCAGCTTCGAAATGCATCTCAAATCTCCTGAATTAATATTCGTCGAGATGCGTCTCGGATGATAATAGGTATCTTTACGTCATCAATTAGGACTTAACCGTAAAATCGTAGCTAAAGTATTAAACGACATTTATTAATAAGCCGAAATATCGAAAACTCCGACATTAATGAATAATTATTGTGCACTTAAGTTTATTAATAAAGACTTATGTAAGATCTTAATATCGACCTTGCACTCGATGGATTTATTAATACGGGTTTAATAATCTGTTTTTCTGTCCGAGGCGGCTCTTCCTTTCACATATTACTAACATATGTTCATAAGCAACCGGCTCCCCAACACCCACACCAAGGTATGGAACCAGAATCCTGAGGTGGTGCAGAAAGTTTTCTCGACTTGTGTGTGTAGGCAGATCCAAGGGAATTCACTGACGAACACATACTGTTAGTCCGCTCGTGCTCCGAATGAGAAGTTGTCATATCCTGAAAAAGAATAACGAATAGATTTAAAAAAAAATCATGTTTTGTTTACTGCTACTGGACACACACACGCATACACTCCTTACGGCTCAATTTACATTGCCGCGGAACGAAATGGAACCTCGTTGTGCGAGAAGGCGCGCGCGCTCGCTGGAATACTCGTGCATTCGCGAGCTATCTCGCGACTACACTGTGAGTCTGTAGTATCCCCCGTTCACACGTCATTGTACTGCACGAGTTTTTACAGTATAAATCTTAGCAAATAAACAGTGGCGCATACATTATATATAGAACACACGGTGTTTGTGTTGCAGAAAAAAAACGCACAAGCTCTATATGCTTATATAATTTAAAACAAAGTCGTTGCCGTCTTCTATGCCAATATAAAAGAGCAATAAAGCGTGGATCTATCACATACGTGTTCTCAGGGCGTTTGCTGTGTGAATACTGCCGCTGTCCGTCTTTTAAACGCATGAAAATATATCGTGTGAACACCCCGCCGTCTACACGTTTATAATAGAATACGTTAAAAAACGTTCAGAACAATGTGTGGAAGAAGTCTCGCGAATTTCGTCAACTTTTGACGTCATACTGCGTAGCTTCGCGCCACTTCCCATGGATTCGCCAGGCGCCGTCTAGGCAGCCGCGGAAATTCCCGCGAATGCGCGAGCATTCCCAATTCGCGTGACTTGTTTTTTTCGTTGGCTCGTATCTAGTTTGTACTTTACTTAAATCACAATGTTCACATTGCTCTGTACAATTTCGTTACAAAAATTCGCTTCCATTTCGTTCCGCCGCAATGTAAATTGAGCCTAACGGTTAACTAAATGGGTACCCAATTTACTCTAGAAGCACTAAGGACACCGGGAAATCTTGGTCTAACAGGAAATAGTCGATATGCTACCGAGATCGTACGTATCGTCTTAAAAAAGTACATCTGTAATTTCGAGATGGGTCAACCCATTACCTGAACACCGTTTTCTAAGGCGCTCATAGCCAATAAATGTTTCAACCTTATATACAAATTGTCTAATCTGGTGATTCTGTAGTGGAAGATAAAACATTCCGCGAATGGCATATAATATCCGCTTGCGACCTTATAAATTCTTGCCAATTTTAAGGAACAAATAATAAAATCAGCTAAATTATAGTTACCAAATAACTGTCCCGCTTATAACGCGGGCCCGAGCTTGACGAAGACATAGTATTCCGCGGACGATGTCGCAAACAGTGTTTCGGTTTCGTCATATCACCAACTTCCTCGATCAATCTTTCGTTATCACTCTCCAATTGCACTGGCACCCCGTTCTTTGGCAATCCGTTCTTCTGCTCTTTCTTCTTCTCCCGTCTTTTTCTTTCTCTTTTCTTAAATGTTAAGGAAAATCTTTTCTTTTTCTTTGCTTTTGGAGAATCTGGTCTTTGTGCTACGACAGACTTTTCTCTCTCAGATCGACTCGTATCATCATCTGGTGGAGGTATTTGTGACTCTGAATCTGTCTTCAAGGTAATTTCTGTTCTTGTTGAAGAATCTGGCTCACCAGCTTTGTATGCTACTTCTTTCTCTAAATTCACTAACTCCATTCTTCGTAATCTTTTCGGTAGTTTCTTAACAGTAGCGTATATTGGTTCCTCATTATCCCCTACAGGTGCTGATCGTGAACGGAAAAAGAAATCGAACTTTTTTGGCTTTACCGGTATCCTTCTTTCCACGAATACAACTGTACTTGCAACTTCTGTTGTCGTTGTTATTTCATCAGATTTAGTAGGACTGTTTGAAACAGGTATTCCTTTAGGATAATCGTAAGTCAGTTCTATGTTCTTCTCAGTGATATAAGACTTCTGGGGAGGCGTTTCGTTTGGGACTTCAACTTTGACTGGCTCACTCTTCTGGCAACAACAGGGTTTTTGTGTTGACATGATTCGCTTGGTATTGCACATGAAAACTGAATTCTGCTGTATAAAAGTGTGTAACGGTGTTGCTTGGACATCACCTAAAAGGTCTTCAACATTGCCTCCTGTGGGGAATCTTGGTGGATGGTAAGGTGCTATGACGAACCCTGGAGGAGGTGCCGAAACGTAAGGAGGAGATGCTACAGCTTGGAAGAACCTGGGCATATCTGAAGGGGCATCGTGGACAAGGACATCGACGACTCGCTCGTGTCCATTGTCTGCCATGTTTGGATGTGTATTGTTCTGTTCTGACGTCACTGTGGACGATTTTGGCTGAATGTCCGCTGGGCGGGACACTTGTTGGCATTCGTCACATGTGCACGGTGATTCGATGCCACTCTGTAATTTAATTTACAATTTAATTAGTTCGCATGGCAATACTTGGAACGGACACAGAAATAGATTATTCTCGTGAGACTATGGAGGCAGTCGTTGTTCCGGTAAAGGATAGTAACACTTCATAAGAAGAATTTACAATTTTACATTCCGCTATTATTTCGATACCAAATGGCATTTGTCATGTCTTTGTTTAGTTTATATATCTACGAGTAGATACCTAGTTTTAATGGTTATAAACCGGGTGGGGAACACTATTTCGGGATGGCGTTATTTATTTTGAGTTCGCTTTGACTCTCAGAATATTGCGCACATGTTTTATTCCACGAATGCTGTCAAGACCAAATGGCGCACGTTCGAGGAGGCCTGAGTCTGATGTTGTGTGCAGTGGGCTGCAATAAACTGATAATGATGACGCTATAAAATTTTTCATAAAACTTCTTTTCATTTTCCTAAACTTTTATGTTCTGATTCTGGTGGTCTTATACAGCTAATTCTACGTTAACTCCTTTTACAAACCAGGGGGTCTACTCTCGATCGCCGTCCGACATTTGTCCGAAACAATTACTGCCAAATAAGCAATACTTGACCAAATGAAAAGGCGCGTGATGCGAATGAAGCATCATAATTGACACTTGTCTTTTTTATTTTGTCGAATATTACTTATTTGACAGTAATTGTTTCGGACGGAGGTCGAGAGTAGACCCCCTGAAGTGGAGTCATTATAACCTTACCCTTCAAAACCGGAACACTGTAATGCTGACATTACTGCTTGGTGGCAGAAATAGGTAAGGTGGCAGTACTTCCCTGGACGAACTCTTTCACAAGGAGCTCTACTGCTACAAAATTATTACATTAATTATTATGATTATAAATAATTATATGAGATCTTAGCCTGTAACGGCGTTAAATCGCGATGAATAGAGAAAGGGAAGGGAAGCCTTTGCCCTGCAGTGGGATAGTAGCGGCTGAAAATGAAATTAAAGTGGAGTCATTGTTTAAAGCCGAATTTTTGGTACCGATTTATACAAACAAAATAATAATGATTGTTTAAGACATATTCTTGTACCAACCTTGAGCAAGTACTTCAAAGATACATTAAAAACATTCGTGTTTTCATTCAAAAGAGAGAGCATTCAGACAATTATGTCAAGTGGTATTATTTATACGATGAACAGATGGGAAGAGGCTCCGTGGTCGTTATGCTTTTGACTGTGGCCTGTTTGTGCAAATGAGCCAAGATGAAAAATAAATCGATACCTCCAATGAACACTACGCCTTTACGCTTTACTTTAATTTTTTGTTATTTTTGTAAACAAACCAAGGTTTTGGGCCCTTTACAGGTCCCATGGTCACAGGTGGCTGAGATGGTGAAGTCATTCGTTACGTCTTGCATTTACATGTTTTGTATTAATATTTGCGAAATATACACGATTTAGATACGATAAATAGTTTCATTTTCTATATTTAAGATTATTTCTTCTTACGATTTTTAAAAATAGTGTTGTAATTTATAAAATATGAACAAAATATCGATGGTGTGATGGTTTGATATTAAATGAAATAGACGCGAGTGCCGGCCGCAAGGTGGGGACAGAGGAAGCTGCCACCCGAACACTGAATATCACGTAAATCAAATTGTTCAAATGGCGAGACCTTGTGCTATTAGGACGGATTTAATTACGGAATTGGATTGTCAAGGAGGCTCTATCGTCCGATATTTGGGACCCATCAATTAATACATACCGGATATTTTAAACAGAGTTGTGGACCTTTTGCTGAGGGGAAGTAAAATTGTTATTCCGCAGAGGTTACGTCAGCAGGTTTTGAAAGCAGCCCACGAGGGGCATCCTGGCATTGTGGCAATGAAAGCACGGCTACGCACTAAAGTGGGGTGGCTCAAAATAGACATGGATGCCGAAAAGGTTCTAAAGAGTTGTAAGGGTTGCACTTTGGTGTCTGCGCCAAATCGACCCCGCCAATGACCCGTCGTGAGCTGCCAGCACAGGCTTGGGTTGACGTAGCCTTCAATTTTTTGGGTACTCTTCCTAGTGGACATTATCTTTTTGTTATAGTAGATTATTACAGTAGATACAGAGAAATTAAAACGATGAAGACTATAACATCTACTGAGACTATTAAAATTTTAAAAGAAATATTTTCAAGGTTGGGAATTCCAGTTACTATAACGGCAGACAATGGAAGACAATTCGCCAGCGACGAATTCAAATAATTTTGTGGCGAACTAGGGATCAAAATTTATTTTACTACACCGTATACCCCTCAACAAAATGGCGAAGTAGAGCGACGAAATCGGGATATCCAAAAAAGGCAGAATTAGCCAAAGTCAAAAATCCGATTGGTATGACGATCTTCTATTATACTCAACCATGTACAATAGTACCCCTCACTCCATCACCAGAAAAACGCCATCGGAATTATTTTTCTGCAGACAATTTAGGGATAAAATACCCTCTCTTACAGATATAGACAGTCCATTTGTTTCAGAGTTTATAGACAAGGACAAAATAATGAAGGAAAAAGGGAAAGAATATGAGGATAGGAAAAGAAAAGCGCAGGTAACAGATACAGAGATTGGGGAAAAAGTATACGTCAAGAATATGCTGAAGGAAAACATGCTTACTACGAACTTTAATCCAACACCACATACTGTAATAAATTATAAAGGCTCAGAATGTGGTACAAAAAACGATGAAACAGGTCAAGAACTGAGGAAAAACGTGATTCATTTAAAAAGAGTTGAAGGACAGTGGAAGATCTGTGAAGATGGTAGATCTGATTCAGGGAATAAAAGTAATTGTCGCACAGAATGCGAATGAGATGAATATATGCAATTTTGGTTACATCATTATATCAGTTTTGTATTTTTTTATTTTGTTATCTAATTATGTGTTACCAAACGTAGAAATTGAGTCTTACTGTTACGTGTAAACATTCATTCAAAGTTGTTAAAAGGGGAAAGATGTGATGGTTTGACATTAATTGACATAGACGCGAGCACCGGCCGCAAGGCGGGGACAGAGGAAGCTGTCACCCGAACCAGGAGGACGTGTGGTCGCGTCTATTGAATTAATACCAAAACTGTGTTTTAATTGCGTTCTATTACTTACCCCCTGTGACGAGCAGACGTCACAGATGGTTTTCTAGAATAGCCGACTATGGCAAAACACCTGATTCGTCAGGAAGCCGGATTAAAAAAGCTGAGATGTGTCTGCCGCGTTAACAAATCGTAGACCATCAAATTGTTATCACAATCATTATTATTTTAACTAATGAAAAGCTCCGTGTACCATTCATAATAAAATTTAGCATTTTCTAAATAAATGTATAGTAATAAATAATAAAAAAACCATTTTGAATTTTCTTATGGTATAAAGTAACGGGACGAACAGGTCATGCGCTTGATGGTAAGCGACACGCCTATCCATAGCAGTTGCAGTGCCACTCAGAGCTTTAAATCGCAGAGATCTGAGAGGCACTGCTACTGTACCCGTCACCTTGACACATGAGTTGAAAAAATGTGCTTGTAATTTCACCAGTACCCTTAGAGCGTTTGTGCACTATGTCCGATTCGTATTAGTTCCGAATCCGAGAAATGACGGTCCGCAATACCACAGGGATCATTTTATCTCTAGTTGTACAAGAGATGTTCGTATTTTCTTGGATCGGACTTAAAGCACAAGCGACTTCCGAAGTGGATCCGAGTTTTCTAGATTTCTATAGTCTCGGATTCGAAAGGAATACGACTCGGATGCAGTGCGTAAATGAGCTTACAAAACCTTTAACGAGGAGCTCTACTGCTACTAAATTGATTGAACTACTATTTTTGAAAAACGTTGTGTATTTAAAAAAGCAACTCCTGAAGCTGCTCATTCTTTTCACAGAAATCTGCTTAAGAGATGAGTGAGTATATGTTTAGTCAATTTCAAGTGTACTTTGTTGACCTATGATATTTATATTATTTTGAATTTAGTAAAATATCTAGAACATGTCTCCTTCTAAAAATGATAACCGTGAAAATATTTGTCACGTAGTAACATAAATTACTAACGGTATGGATTTTACGAGCTGGCGGACGGTTTATGAGGATACGATGTGGCGTTGTCGGATGCTATTATAAAACAGACGCTGGAGTAATATATTTAAATTAGATTTTTATAATTTGTCTACAGCAAGCGTGTGTGAGGAAACGATGAACACTTGAAATTATAAATTTGGACGTAATTTGTGGTCGTCTAAGTGTGTCCATGTCACCCGCGATACAAGGTTTCCCTAGGCTATTTATTTATTTTTTATTTTTTTATTTAGTAATTTATTTCCGGCCACATGATCCTTGAACTAAGGTGCTAGACAGACAGTCTGCATTTCAACTGCACTCCGAATGTAAATTTGCAGTTTGATTGCAGTCGGTGTGCAGTTGGCGTGCAGTTCCAACGAAACGGTTGAATGCAATCCAAAATTCAAACTGGAAATGTGCAGTCAAAGTGCTTTGAAATGCAATCTGTCTGTCTAGAGCCTAACATACATACAATATAGTAAACTAAATAACTACTCTACACGAATTGCAATTGTCGGAGACGTGTGGCGCAATCTGGTGTCAGGTAACCGGCCGCGGAAACGCCGATATACGACACCCTTTGCCTAAAATTCCTCCTTCATGAAGATCGACAGATGGTCGGTCGGCACTCTCACTATAAACGAATTAAAATTCACGTTGTGGCGGGGCTCCAACCGACCTTCAAGGTGTTTTTGGCTTTTAGCCTGATGTACTCCACTATCTCCTCAGACTTCGTGGAGTAATGTAGTCGCGACTGGTACAGCAACGTCGTCAGTATGGCCGGACGCAGGAAAAAGTTAGGTTAGGTTAGTCCTGTCGGTGCTGTGTCACACAGGTTACGGCTGGTGGGTTTCACCACCTTCGTAAAGCCGTCCTCGTCACACTGATCCGTCTGCCTCTAGGGTTTTGCAACTTCAGAGACAGG